ATCTCTTTCACTCCTGATCTTCCCCCCGTCCCACCCATGTTAGCCTCCCATTTGGGACTGCGGCTTTGCTGAGCTCACTGTCACCAGCACATGGGTTGCCCCAGCACTGTTGGTGCTGGCAGAGCTGCAGACCCCGCTTGCTCCGTTGCCTGCAGTGAAGCTGAGGCTCTGGGTTCACTCCCCATTGTTGGCCCCAGTGTTACACGCAATGTCAGGTGCATCTTAGGACCAGCACAACCAACGCAAAGCGCGCTGACAAAGCCAAGCGTTCTGAGCACCTCCATGGAGCAGCTGCTGCGGTGCAGTTGGGGCCGTGTTGCATTCTGGGGGCCTCGGGGGTCAGGTCCTGAGCGTGGGGCTCTGCATCCCCAGGGATGTGAGGCAGAAGTACGGCTTCGTGGCCCAGAAGGTTAATGATGCATCGCTCAGCCGTTCCCGCTGCCTTTTGCTGCTCCCTCGTTGCTTCTGCTGTTTTATTTATTTATTTGTGGGCAGTTTCACAGATTTCCCTTCTGGGTGACTCTGGAATTAACTCGATCAATGCACGCCCGATGAAGCAAAATGTGAATTTCCCCCGCAGTCAGGGCTGACTCAGGGACTGCTGCGCGCAGATGAAGGAGCGGCCGTGTGCGCTCTCCCAGAAAGAGGTCGTTTTTGCCCTCAGGGCTGCAAGCGTTGCTCGGAAATTCAGAAAATCACCCAAACTTTGAATTTCAGATTTTTATTTTGGTGCCAGCCTGCTCCCCACCAGAGAGCACCAAGAGCTGCTGGGGGGTGGTGGGCGGGGGATGCTGCTGTCCCTCTCCTCATGCATCCCCCCCCAGCAGAGCTTTCTGCTTCCCCTGCTGTAAGGGTGGGAGGGCTGAGCACAGAGCTGTGACCCCCAGCGGAGCAAAGCCCCACAGATGGGGCAGAAAAGGAGCAGGAAATAAGAAAATAAAAAACAGAATTTCTGCCTTGTCCTCAGCCCAGGCTGTGAGATGGGCTGCGGGAGGGAGAAGGTGTGGGGCTGGGTGGGATGCGAATGGGCTTTTGTGGATCACAGCGTTCTGAAAGCTTTTTTAATGTATTTCATTTTATCTTATTCTGTTGTTGATGTATTGATTCTCCTCCACTCCTCAGCCCCATCCCAGCCCACGGTGGGGGGAGGAAGGGGTCAAGGCTGGGGGTGGCCGCACGGAAAGCTGCTGTCTGGGCGCTGCCGTCCCCCCAGGTCCCCCCCGTCCCCATGGTGTCTTCTTTAAAACAGAATATTATTGATACCCGCTCTATTTTTACCTGGCAGCCGGAGCTCACAATGGTGCGGGGGAAGATGCGAGGCAGCCGGCAGAGCTGAGCCTGGGGGCGGCTGCGCTGCACGGGGGGGCGCGGGGGGGTTCCACCCAATATAGCAGAGGAGGGGCAGAGCCGGGGCACCCCGAATCCCACACCTGGGCACAGTGGGGGCCGTAACCCCCCGCCCTACTGCAGCACTCAGGTGCTCCCCGTGCCCCGTCTCCACGCATGCCGCACCCCCCCACGCTGACGCTGCTCTCCCTCTGCCCCCAGGTCCCTCTGGACACAGCAGCCCCCTCCTCGCATCGCTGCCGATCCCCGGGCGGCCGCTGCACTCCCCGCTGGACATCAAACACTTCCTGACCTTCCGCCTCAACGGCGCATCCCCGCTCAACCTCTTCCCCAACTTCACCCCCCCGCGTGCCCGCGGGGGGGGGGGGGGGGGGGGGGGGGGGGCAGCTCCTCCCCTGCACCTCCTGAAGATCCCTCTTCCAACTCGGACGGGTGATTTGTGGCCTAATTGCAGGGCAGCACGCCTGTGCCTTGTGCCTGTCCCTCCACCGGAGCAAATGCAGAGCCAGAGTGGGGTGAGGGGACAGCGGGAATGACCCCCCCCCCGCTGGTTCCTGCCCCATCTGCTGCTCTTAGAAAGCAAAATTAAGAAGGTGGTTTGTCTAAACCAAGATGGATGGGTTTGCTCCCGGAATCGATAGTAATAAAGTAGCTGTGGAGAGCGGTTTTTGGTTTTGAAATAAATAAAGGGGAAAAAAGGAGGAGGGGCAGCTCAGCGGCAGCCGTGTGCGTCCCAGAGGGCTGAGGTGCGGCTGCAGCTTCTGCTGCTTCTCCTTCCGCCCCAGCGTGGGGCCGCGCGCCCCCCCCCCCGCCCTGCAATGATCACTGATTCTCACCGCCCTTCTGTCAGTGCTCTGTGATTAAACGTGCTCCTAAGGTGCAAATTATCACCGAGATCTTCAAAGTCGGCCGTAGAAATCAAATACCAGATCTGTGCTGCTGCCGAGTGGGGCTCAGGCACCTCGCTCCTCTAAACCGTTTTGAAACCCCGGCTTCCCTGCCTCTTCCCGTGCTGACAGGCAGGCGCACACGAGGGGAGGGCTTTTCGATGCCATTGCCGTGGCTGCTCTTTGTCTGTGTTTGTTTTCATTCATTGGGGTCAGGATTTAACTTGAAGCAGACTCCGTTTTGCTCAGTGTTTGCTTGCCCCCATCTTGGCACGTGCTCTGCAGAGCTCAAAAAAAACCCAAAGGAATCGGAGAGCCGCTGCCGGAGCCGCGGTGCTGTGCGGGGCTGAGCCCTGAGCGCCACGCGGGGCTGCAGGGGAGGGGGCAGAAGGGCAGCGGTGTCACAGCAGGCTGCGTGAGCGCCGTGCTCAGCCCAGGGCTGCTGGTGCTGCTGGGACCAGCAGGGCTGGGTAACCTCACCCCTCTGCTGCGCAGGGCAGGAGCTGTTTGCAGCCGAGCTGTGCTCTCGGAGCGGGTCACACAGCTCTCATGAACCCAGCAGATGTTTTACTCTGGAGCGAGCAAAACCTTTCTAAACTGAGCTCTTAAAGCAACAACAGGAAAGAAGAAAAGAAAAAAAAAAAGAAAGAAAGAAAAAAAGCCTAGCACAATGCAGAAGGCACATTTCATGCTTGAAAGGCACTTTGCAGCCCTTGCGATGCTGCAAATCCGCCAGAGCCAGCAGCGCCCTGCAGACAGCAGAAGATGCAACCCGAACCGACGCTCCGTCCCCACGCCTTCCCGCGCCGACCTCGGCGGCCGGCAGGAAGTTCGGCTCAGAGATCTCTATTTATACCGGTAGGAACACAGCGATAAGGAAGGCAACCTGAGTCGCTGAGGACTGGCTATAAAGCCGGGACCTCGGCGCTGCCCGACCCATCTCTGCTCTGCGTGCGGCAGCCGGGCGCTCCCAGGTAGCGCTGCGGAGCTGAGGGCAGGGATGCGCCCGCAGGAGCCGGTAGGAGCGCAGCATCCGGACGCAGCGGGGTCCCTGAGGGGGGGCTGCTGCTGGTTGGAAATAGCAGAGTGGAGAGGAGCTGATGGTGTGTTTGCGTTCCGTTCGGTGGGAAGGACAGAGGCTCCCGGGGGGAGCTGAGGGCGCTGTGGGCAGCGCTGTGGTGCGGTGCCCCGGATGCCCTTTGGAGATGCGGTGCCTGCAGTCGTTCGTGGGGAGCAGGGAAGGCCACGGAGCTGCGCAGCCGCGTCTGGGGGGCACAGAGCGGCAGTGCCTGGAGGGAGCTGTGGGGCAGAGCGGAGGCAGAGGTTGGGTCGGTGCTGAGCACTGGGCAGGTGGGAGGAGCAGCGAAAGGCTCTGAGCGGCCCAGCAAGGAGAGGGGGCTGCGGTGCTCCAATGTGTGGGACAGAGCAATCACCCCCAGTATTGACGCCAGTGGGGTTCCCTTACCCAAAGCATCCAGAACAGAAAGTGAAATTCCCTGAGAGGCTGCAATTTAGTGTTAATTAACAGGAAATGGCTGACACATAGCAGCAAGGACCCCTCCTCGCTAAATACCGACTTCTCTGGCACTCATCCCTGTGGGAGGGGGCAGAACGGCCGCTGATCAGCCCCATCCCACAGCCCAGAGCTGCACAGGTTGGGGCTTTTTTCCCATCTGTGCCTGGAAGAGAAGGAGCTGCAGGCTGCAGTGTGGCTGCCGGGTGCAGCAGCATCTTCACCATCTGCAGACTGCTCCGCTTCGCCACCAAACCCCAAATCCTCTTCATTTATATTCCAGATAAGTGAGCAAAACCTCGTAGCAAAGCGGCTCTTCATTAATCACCCGCCTTCACCATTCTGCTCACTTCTGGAATGGAATTTGGGGTCTTGATAATGGCTCTGTTGTCCAGGCATGTGCCTCGAAGACTGATGCACCTGTCTCAGCAACTAAATAGCTCTGCAGAGAAATACGATCGCCTCAAACCCCGGCCTCCACTGACAGCAGGGCTCAGATAAGATAATCTTCCTATGCCACGGGGTAGTGGAACAATACTTGCATTATAGATTATAGCCACGCTCCAACAAAGAGCTTATTCTTATTTCCCCCCCTTAATAAATGCATTTTGTTTAAAACAATTATGGCTCCTCGAACAAGTTTGCTGGCTCGGCGGAGGGATGATGCTGAGCACTGGGGAGGGACAGGAATGGTGGGGGCTGCCTGGGGGCTGTCAGCACCCGCACGCATCGGCCCAACGGCAGCCCCTGGCAGCAGCCCCCGCTCTGCCCTTGAATGGCAGTGAGGAAAGACGCCGCTCCCAGCAATCGTTGGAGCTGTTCCCCATGCAGGTGTCCTGCAAAGTGCTGGGGCTGCAGGGGCTGCTGAGGTGCAGTGCAGTTGGTAGCACTGTAATGGGGCTGCGGCAGGCAGGACGTGCCTTGTGGGGACGGGGGACTGGCTCTGCACGGGCAGAGTGACACCCAGTGACAGCCTGTCACACCCAGCCAGACATCAGTGGGCGTTTGGGCCCTGCAGCTCAGCGGGGTGTGAAGGATGGTTCAATAAGAGACATAGGAAAGTGATGATACAGAGCACCCCGCGGAGAGGCCAGAAATAAGGTTGCACACGCAAGGTCATGAATGTGAAGGGAGCTCACAGGTTGATCCGTGGGCCCAGGCCGTTCCTGGAAGCCAGGAGCCCCCGGTGAGCACAGCGGCGCAGCACTGCAGCCCCAGTGCTGGCCCACAACACCCCGTGCTTCCCTTTGCAGATGGACCCGGTGCAGAAGGCCGTGATCAGCCACACCTTTGGCGTGCCTGCCCCGCTCAAGAAGAAGCAGTTCATCTCCTGCAACATCTGCCACCTGCGCTTCAACTCCGCGGTAAGTCGGGCTGCCATGGCCTGCTGTCCCTCAGCTCTGCCCGGCGGTGACCCCGCGGCTGCAGCTCTCCCTTCTCCCATTCCCATTTCTGTCTTCCTGCTCCCCGTCATTTTGTGCAGCTCTGCTCCCTGCTGCCTTACTCCTGTGTTTGTGCTCCAGCTGTGTCATCAGCTCATGCGGTTTCCATCTGCTCCTTGGAGCTGGATGCGCTCTCCCTGTGCTGGCCTCCCAGCACTCTGCTGCACAGGTGGTTTGGGTGGTTTTTATTCTTCCCTGAATCCCTTCATTCAAAGTAAATCAACCACCTTGAAGAGGGGAGGAAGGAAACGTTCATTGATCCCTGCAGTAATGAATTGCACGCAGTTGATCTTCTGTGGTGAGAACTGATTAAACAGTTGGAAAGGGAATTCTCATTCAGATCCAAGCAGCACCTGGAGAAGAGGTTCGCAGCAGCAGCTCGGAGCCCCTCTGTGTGTTAATGGGCAGATCTGGGGACTGAGCTTTGCGCTGCTGGGCTGGCGCTGTGCTGTGCTCTGCCCCAACCACCCAGACACCCTGAGGGCTCCCATCCCTGTGAGAAGGGGATGGTTTGCAGGGATGGTTTGCAGGGATGAGTGGCTTCAGAGAGGTCATAGTCAGCCGTTCTACTCATCTGTGCTGCTGCTCCATCACGTGCAGGGCTGGGAATGAGGCAGAAGGCTCTGACTGTGGTTCATCTGCTCGAGCCAGAGCTGCTCCCACGGCACCCATGGGTGCTGCACCCAGCGGGGAGCACTGAGCTGGCTCCGAGTTCCACTGCTGCGCACGGAGAGATGGAGAGGTGGGCGCCGTGTGGCTGTGCTGCCTCAGCAGAGCCCCGCTGCGGGAGCTGCTCCTCCAGCCACAGTCAGCTTCTGCAGGCTTAATTATTTTGCCTGGCAACCGAGCGGCGCGGGGAGCGGCTTTCCGCTGGGAGGAGCTCTGCCGTTCCAGGTGCGGGATGGCGATGCTCGCCGCAGCCCCCCGCGCTGCTCGCGCTGACCCCGCGCCCCGGGCCGCTCCTGCGCTGCTCTTCCCTCGGGTTCCCCGGCCCGGGGTGACGGCCGTGTGCGGCCGCTGCATGCTGACCTACTTGCGCTGCGGCCCGGCCCCGTCCGAACCGCGTTATCTGATGGAAGTCGATTGTGTTTGCTAATGAGGCTCTGCTCGGCCCGTGCGCTTGGATGGGCCTTTTTTCTTTCCCACGGACCCGCGCCGCCCGGCTCCCAGCCGCCATTCCCTGCCCTCGGGATGCGGTGGGCAAAGCTGCTCCCCGGGCGCCGGGAGCAAATTAATCCGTGCTGCTCAGCGGTACTGTCTTAATTCACGTTGGATTTAGCTTGCATAAATTGCCCAACTGCGGTTGTTTTCGGCGACAATGCAGCATTGTCTGTGACCGCTCAGTACACCAGTGTGTGGGTTCCTCTCTTTGTGGATGTTTTTATCTGCTCCGTGCAGGCGTGGACCCATCGATGTGCACTTCATTATTCAGCGTTCTCTGGGAGAAAGGAGCCCGTGAATGTAAATTGCATGTTAGATGCCCGCTGGGTTACAATGGGAGATGTGTCCTCCCCACCGATGCGTTTTTTAATTTTATTTTTGCAGCTTGCCGTGCACTGTATGTTTCTGGAGCCATGCATTTATCTGAAGGCTTCTTTCAGAAGTGGCTCGGCGCATTTAATCAGAGTGGGATCCTTATCTTGGCCTTGCAGTGCAGCGGTGGCTTAGCACAGTGATGCCTTGAGTGCACGTGTGTGCAGAGCGGTCCTGTGAGAGGGGAAAAGCAGCTCTGTGCCACAGCTGGCCAAGTGTGTCACATCCAGGGGTGGGTGGCACTGGGCGCTGCCGGCCATGTGCTGGGGGCTGTCTGAGCTGCCATTGCCAGGACTGCCCCTCACCCACCTGTCCGTCTGTCCATCCTTCTGTCCGTCTGCAGCGCCGATGCAGTGTCCCCCTCTGTCTCTCCCACAGAACCAGGCAGAAGCCCACTACAAAGGCCACAAGCATGCCCGGAGGCTGAAAGCCATTGAGGCCATGAAGAGCAAGCAGAAGGCAGTGGGGGCCGTGGGCAGGGACAGCACGGCCGACTTCACCCCCAGTCTGGAGGGTGGTGAGGATCCCAGCGGTGCAGGTATGGGCAGGGCTGCAGCGCAGCCCCAGCGCTGTGCGATGACCTGCTGCTCCTGGTGGTGCAGCAGGAACCCAAGGCACTTGGGGCAGCACTGTGTGCCCGAGCTTCCCTCAGCCGTCAGCTGCAGAGCGCAAGGAGGGGCGGGGATGTGTGAGTGTGTCACAGGCCTGCTTCCACCTCGGGGTCACAGCCTGGCTGCGGACAGAGGGCAATGCTGGCTTGTCCATGCACTGCTCAGTGATCTGCAGCTGAAGTGTGGCTTTGGTTTCAAGTTATTCTGTGTTTGTTTGCTGCTGGGTGTTGGGATGGGAATGCTTGGCAGAGGCTGCACTCAATTCTGCACCTGCAGCACTGCACGCTGTGGGAGGAGCGCCTTGAGCCCCTGCCTGGGGACTGTGGGTGGGATCCGGCCCTGCTGCCGGCCCTGCAGCACCCGCCCCTGTTTGCATCTCCCACCCTGCAGTGCTCTGGTGCTTTCCCCGTGTTTGGTCTTTCTGGGTGATGTTTATAAACACAGATAATGGCTGTGGCAACAAAGTCTTCCCTGCCCAACCACGGAGTCTGCAGGTGCTTGCGCACACCCTCAGGGCTGTTGCAGATAAAAGCTGTGGTGCAGCACTGGGGCAGAACCCCCCCCTCAGAGCAGAGAAGAGCCCCTGGGCCAGGCTCGGGGCTGCTGCCTGAAATCCCCGTTCAGGAAAAGAGAGCTTTCGCCCCCGGCTGATTTCTCCTCCCCCCCTTCTCCCTCCCTTCCCGCCAGCCCCCCCCAGCGACCCCAAGGAGGCGGACGGCGAGAGCCCCGACGTGGCGCTGCCGCCCGGCTCCGAGCAGCCGCCCGCAGAGCTGCCAGGCAGCGCCGCCCCGCTGGGCTCCCCGCCGCCCTCCGAGCCGTCCGAGGCCGCGTCCGACGCCGCCAGCATCACCTCCTCGGCCGCACACGGGGCGGAGGCGCAGACGGCCGAGTCGGGCAGCAGCGGCGGCTCAGCGCCCGACAGCGAGAAGGAGGGCAGGAAGGGCAAACAGCACCTGTACTGCCCCACGTGCAAGGTGACCGTCAACTCGCTGTCCCAGTTGGAGGCTCACAACACGGGTAAGGGCAGAGCCCGGGTGCGGAATCCGCGCAGAGCCACGCGGCCTTGCGAGTTAATGAATGTTGTTTTCATTAAAAAGGTTGAATTAAGGTGGCTTGCAAACATAAGCGGTGGTGTTTTACCTACGCTGCGGCTTAAGAAGTGAATTCTAGCAAGATCAGAAGCTCCCTCATTGTTCGTGTAGCTTAATTAAAGACCTTTTCAGATAGATTAATTGAAGCGATTGGAGGCCGCTTTGTATTCTGTTGCAGTTCAGCCCTAACCTGACAGCAGTGGGAGTGCCAGGACCTGCCCGGAGCCCGGGGCTGGGCGGCCTTTTGGGAGCCACGCGGGGAAGTGAATGAGCCCCACAGCGCGGCTCCCCCGACCGAGCCCCCGGAGCCCCCCCGCTCCCCCCAGCTCCGCAGTGCCGCAGTCTCTGCAGCGCCGGCTCCATCTGCACGCGATGCTCAGCCCGAGCAGCCCCGATCCTAACGGGGGGAGCCCCCCCGCCGCAGCGGGAGCTGGGAGCCAGCAGCCCCCGCCCCAGGGCTTAGCTGCAAACGTGTCCTTTGGCTTTTGTCAGCTCCGGTTACAAAGACGGGCGCCGATTTGAGGAGGAAGAACAAACAAACAAAATGTTCGCAGGCTGCTGCTCCGGCTGTCACGCAGCGCCGAGCTCAGGCTCTTTGCTTAACGCCTTAAGAAATAGAAGGAATTAGCGGGAGCTTGAATTACCTGCCCTCGCTGGGAAGGGGCGGACGCAGTGCGCCGCCCCCAGGTGTGCGGGATTTGGGGCTCGCCTTCCCTGCCCCCCGGGGCCCCACTGAGCAAATCCCGGCTCTGTGCCGGCACCGCTCTGACCTCGGGCGCAGCGCAGGTGCTGTGCTAATGCTCGGGGATGGCGACGGCTCCCGGACGCGCTGAAAACAGCCATTTCTCCAAAGGTCTGACGTGTGGAAGGAGTTGGGGGGAGGCACCTCTGGGAGCAGCTGGTTTGTGGTCTGGAGCTTGGCAGGGGCTGGGAATGGGCTGCTGCATCCCAGGATGGGTTGGGACAGGGTCTTGCTGCAGAGGGACGGAAGGTTTGGTGTTTGCTGAGCGCCTCTCCGTCCCCAGGTGCCAAGCACAAATCCATGCTGGAAGGACACAGCACCCAGCTGCGGCGCGGCCGGGGGAAACTGCTGGCCAGGGCAGGGCACAAAGCCAAGAGAATCGGCAACAAGGGCAGCATCAACATCCAGAACAAGGCGTTCCACTGCCAAGTGTGCGAGATCTACGTGAACTCCGAGACCCAACTCAAACAGGTAATGGCACTGAGCCTCAGCTGTGCACTTCCCCTGGGAAACGCAGAGCTTCGGGGAGCATCTGTCAGCACGACGCCCATGGGAGAGGAGCATCTCTTAAGTCCTGGGTTTTATGGGACTCATCCCTTTGAAATCCCTCCCTTAAGCCAAGGGGAATCTGCATGTGTTCGCCATAACCCTGTGGGTTTTCCCTGCTGTGGAAAACGCAGGATTGGTGGGGGTCAGAGGGCACCAGCTGTGCCCGTGGTGCCCATTGCTTGGCCCTTGTCCTCTTGCAGCACATGAGCAGCCGGCGGCACAAAGACAGGCTGGCTGGGAAGCCGCCCAAGCCCAAGTACAGCCCCTACAACAAGCTGCAGAAGAACGCTGCCCTCGCAGTGAGTATTCTCAAGGTATTTGTCTCCCAGCAAATCACCCACCCGCTGGCTGCCTGCAACACCCAACTGCATGACACATCTCCTGCTATAAGACACACTGTTGTTCTCAAAGCCTCCGTTCCTTGCACCCCACGGATCCCGTTGTGGGAGGACTGTGAGCTGAGAGGAGGCTCTGGTTTTCCTTCTTGTGACGGAAAGCACAGGGAGAGCTCAGCCCTCTGGCAGCAGCATTCTGAGCAGCTGCGGTATTTGGGGTCCTTCCACCTGGCTCACATTTGGCAGCTGATTGAGTGCCTGGGGTTAGCATAGTTCAGCTGAACCGAGCCCAAACATTTATCTGCAGAGACCTGGGGCTCCCTGCCTGGTGTGGTGGGGAGCTGGCAGAAATACCAGCCTAGGAGTCAGGGAGCAGCAGGCAGGGGGAGCCGGGGCAGAGTGTGGGGCCGGGGCCTCCCAGTGCTGGGGCTGCGCTCTGTGTTTGCTGCAGACACCGCAGGGCTGCTGCAGGGGCTGCTCTGAGCTGTTGCAGCCATCATGAGGTCTCCTCTCCCTCCCGCAGTCCAAGCTGGCTCTGCAGAAGCACCTCACCAAGACGCTGGCGACGCGCTTCCTGCCCAGCCCGCTCACCACGGCTGTGTGCGCCATGCCTGGGCCTCTCGCCCTGCGCCCGGCCGCTGCCACCACGCTCTTCCAAGCCCCGATCCTCGGACCAGCCCTATTCCGAACGCCTCCAGCCCACGTCCGCACCACGCCGGGCCCCATCGTCTTTGCACCCTATTAGAGCCGCTCGCCGGGGTCCATCGGCCGTGCCATGGGGCTGCACGGGGCACCGACTGCTCTCCTGGCTGATGGGAAACCGTAGCAGTAGGCATCGACCCAGGCTTCCCCTTTGCTTCCAACTGGCTCCCGTTGGTGTGCGACGCTCCGCCGGAGCCCAGCCCCACTGTGCCCCCCCCCTGCCACTCCCCCCGCCCATGCTGGCCCCGCAGCGGTTGGGCCACGTGGGGTGAGGATGGTGCTGGAGCCACCAGGACCTTGCTGTGCTTCTTGTCTGCCTCCCAGTTCCCAGATCGAGAGGAGAGGAGCTGGCTGGTCCCCCGGGGGTGGAGCAGCCCTGGTCCCCGCTGGTCTCATCTGTCCCACGCCAAAGAGCCATCGGCCATGGTGGTCACATCCTCACTCCGAGAGCAATAGGCAAAGCCTGGGACTCCCTCCTCTGCCCTCTGAAAGCACACAGCCTTTCTCCCAGGCATCCTGAGAAGCACAGAATTTGGGCACAGGCTCTGCTCCCATCTGGTTCGCGCTCCCTGAGGTGGGAAGGAGGGGACGCTGTGCTCTGAGCCCTGCACCTCAGTCCCACCCCTGGGGGGACAATCCTGCCCCTACCTCAGGGGAGATGCTGTGAGGCTTCGTGAATGTCCCCAAAGCACTTTTGGTTCTCCAGAGGAAGGCGCTGTCGTTGCTCACCATCCACCCCATCCCCATTAGGAGCTTCCAAGGAGTTTGTGACTCTGCCAAGCGAAGGCGTCCTGGCAGCCCAGACAATCAGGGAGGAAGGAGCAGGCACTGCCAGCCTCCCTCAGATGCTCTCTTTTCACTGTGCTCAGAAGGCCCAGCGAGGACCTGGTCTGAAAACTGTATCTGCAGCTCTCTGCGTTCCCAGTGCTGCTGTAAATAGAAACCTGCAGGAAAGTCACAACCCAAATGGACCTCATGCCGGAGTGACGACCCACCCCGATCTATGCAATCCCACGGGAGCAGCTGGCTCGTTGTTTGCTGTCTACATTTTTGGTGCTCAGTCTGTAGGGCTGGGGGTGTTGTTTGGAGCAGAAAGGACACAAAGCAACACTCAGCTCTGTGCAGGTGGTTCCTCTGCCGTGCTGTCCCCTCCCATCCCCAGGCCGGGTGCTGGCACAGAGACCTCTGCAGCATCCTGGCACGCGGCTGTGTTCTTGCCCAGCCCTTGGGATGAGGTGGTTTTGCACATCTGGGAATCCACACGCACAAGCACACATATCTGACATCTTGGCCATAAGCAACACGTGGATTTCAGGAGGATTTTGCCCAGTGTGCACCACCAGTGCTCAGGATGAGGTCTTGGAGGTGTACGGGGACCTGCTGCCACCTAATGCTTCTGTTCCCAGAGCTGGGAACCTCGGGTGACAGCAGGGACCGCTGCATGGAGGGAGCAGCTGCTGGGTCCCGCTGGCACAGAGCTCAGCTCCCACATCCAGAAGGCATTCTGCTCACACCATGGGCAGTGCTCAACCATGGAGTGCTGCTGCTGTGTTTTCCGTGCAGAAGAGTACAAACGAGCATGTGGGTATGGATTTATCTGCTCAGGGCATCTCCCTCTACCTCAGGGAAGGACGGGGAGAGAGGGCACCAAGGGAGGGGGGATCATGTATGGAAAGATCAGAGTAGCCACAAGGTCCTGAGGTGGCGGGGAGGCCTGCTTAAGAGAGCAGCTGCAGGTAGAAGGCTGCTGCAGCAGTGGCCTCAGCAGGGAGATGGAGCAGGGCCCACCAGCCTGGGGGACACGAGTGGCCCAGACCAGGAGACAACCCCGCATCTCCCAGGACAGGACGGGGGCTGGCTGGGCCCACAGGCAGCAGGAGGATGTGGCTCTGACAGCATCTCAGTGCCAAGCAGCCTGAAGCCACCCAGGCCCCCACCGTGCCCTCCTCACTGTGCTCTTCTCCAGGCCTCCTCTCAGCTCTGGCTGCAGCGGTGGCCGTGCTGCAGCCTGCGGGAGCAGCTGGGCACCACTGGGTTGCTTCCCCTGCAATTCGTTTCAAAAAGCCTGTGCTGGAGCCAGCAGTGGCTGCTCCTGTCACCTCTCCACCAGTGGAGTCCTGATACACTCCTACACTTGGCACTTTAACCCTTGAAAGCCATTCCTTCTAATAACAATAATACTGCAGTGAGCTGCATAAGAACATCCTGCCTCTATCGCATCCCCTTCGCCTCCACAAACCCCTCCCTGCCCCCGTGCAATCCAAAGCATTTCTGCCTTTGACTTAGCATATGCTGTGCTAGATAGTAGGGCATAGTCCATAGCGCTCAGTAAGACGTGCCCCTCTGTAAATAACCTTGGAGTGATGTGAAGTTTGATTCCAAAAAAAAAAAAAAAAAAAACCAACAAAAAAGAACACAGAAAAATGGAATAACAGACTCTAGGGACTTGGCCAGTACCCCTCCTGTAATGTTCATTGTATATTTTTGATGTACTATAACTGTTGGGGAAAAAAAAAGGAAAATATTTTGATAATTGAATCTCATCGCTTTATTGTGGTACTCAGTAAATAAAAGGAACAAGTATAAACAAGCCAGGGCTTTCTCATCATTTTTTTTTTCCTAGATCCAGACTTGCCAAAGGGAGCAAAGTGTTGCTGGGCAGGACTGGGACAGCATCCTTTTGTCTCATGGTGGTTCTGAGGCATCACAACCGTGGGGTGGTGAGAGCTGCCCCTGTGTGTGCATGGGCTGAGCACAGCCCCACGCCTCCCGGGTCAGGACTGGGTCTGCCCTCAGCAAAAGAGCACTGCAGTGTGCAGTGCACTGTGAGATGTGGGGGCTGAGCCTGCCCTCAGGAACAGCACCTTGCCCTGCTCCACACTGTGCATTTCCTGGGGCAGGAGGCTCACCTGCATGCAGCTTGGCCAAGGACTGAATATTCCTGCATGTCGGGGTGCAGAGGACACGGCCAGGTAAGGAGCAACCTGCTGATACAAAGCTGCAGCTCCACAGGGCCAGCTGGGGTCAGACAAGGAGACTGGGGAGGCACAGCCCTCAAATGGGTTCTTCTCATGTTGGATCAGTACAAGAGAGCAGCTCTTGAGAGGGGGAAATCTTTTCCTATGGCCTGGCTGTACTCAGATGTGAAGCTGATCCCAGGCTGCTGGACTCCTCGGGGGCAGCATGAAGCCCCCAGGTGTCAGCCTGTGCCCTGAGAGCAGAGGGGTGCACTTGGTGAATCCTGGCTTTCCTGCAGCGCCTTAAACACCGGCAGGGCCTGGGCAGTGAAAACAGCTCTTGTGTCAGTACAGGGAGATGGGTCACCTCTCTCCTCCTCAACGACCATCCCCAGCCCTGGGAAGCCCACTCCTCATGCAACCAGGCTTCCTGCAGGCTCCATAGCACCAAAGAGGCTCAGCAGGAGGTACGTGCAAGGGAAGGAGAGAGGCGAGGGACAGGAGGTGGCATCGAAGAGCAAGACGAGGCTCAGCCATCCACAGACCCGCTGCCCTTGTTCTTGCGGCTCAGGGGAAAAGCAGACTTGCTTTGTGGCTGCGTCATCTTACTGGCCAGGTAGATGAAGGGCTCAATCAACGTGCGCCGGTCAGCCACGGACACTTCCCACAGCTTCACCTTCTCACCCTTGGCCCAATGCTGGGCTGCGTCGTGGTCCACCCGGCGCTGCTCCTGCAGGTCACATTTATTGCCCAAAACCACAATAGTGACCTGTTCACAAACAGGGGAGAAAAAAGCCCAGCCGGTAACGAAAGCAGAGCTGAGCAGTGCTGCTTTGGCAACGCCTTCAGTGCCAGGCCCTGCCCAGTCACAATTCCCCCTTTCAGAACACCTTTCTTTGGGCAGTTTCACCCTTCTGCTTGGGTTTGTTTCAAACCAGCCGCAAACTGGAAGGGCCCACCGAGCAGCTGCGCATGCAGCACTGCAGAGCCCTGCAGGAAAAGTCCCACCTGGGCAGCCGAGATCCCAGTCAACACCAGTAAGACCAACAGCCCCTTATGGAGCAACCGAAGCAGCAGATCGCTGTTCCCCGCTTTCACGGCCGGCCCTTCCGCCCAGCAGCCGCGGAATCAGGGCAAAGAGCCGCCCAGCACAGCAGCCCCCCGCCAAAGGACGGCAGCAGCGCTCACCTCCTTCTTGTCCTTGCATTTGTCGATCTCCTTCTTGAGGAGCTCCACCCGTTTGAAGGACTCCTTGCTGTCGGTGCTGTACACCAGCACGTAGCCGTCGGTGCAGGAGAAGCAGTGCTTGGGCAGCTCCAGGCCGTCCCGGAGCCCCCGCGTGTCGTAGAAGCGGACCTGCTCGCGCACGCCGCGGTCCGTCTCGATGGAGCCCACGTAGATGTCCTCCTGCGTCTCGATCATCTCGGAGCCTGCGGGGCGGACAGCGGGGTGACGGGGTGTCCGGAACCGCGCAGCCCCGCGCCCGGCCCGGCACGCACCGACCACGTGGTTTCCGTACAGCAGCTGCTCCAGGATGGCGGTTTTGCCCACCGCGGCCTGCCCGCACACCACCACCTTGCAGCTCTTCCCCATGCCGCCTGAGCGCCGCTCCGGAGCCGCGCGCGGGGGATCCGCCCAACGAACGGCGCCGGAGCGGCACCGCGCGGGGCTCCGCCGGGGGACGCGGGTCGGGGCGGCCGTGCGGCGCCGCGGATCCCAGCTGCGCGGCGGCGGAAGGGGGGAGGTGCCACAGCGCCCTCCGGCGGCGGAACGCGGCACTTCACGGCATCCGACCCCGCCCCGCTCCCGGCAGCCCGCGCCGCCGTCCCGGAAGCTCCGCCCCTTCCGGCGCCCGCGCGCCCCGCCCCGCCCCGCCCCCACCCGGCCCGGCGGTAAGATGGCGGCGGCAGCCGAGTGCGATGTGATCATGGCGGCGCCCGAGGGACCCGGCGAGCCCGAGAGCGAGGAGGAGGCGCGCAGGTAGCGCGGGCGGCGGGGGCCGGGAGCGGGGCGGGAAGAGCAGGGGCTGCGGGGCCTTGGCGGAGCCTCTCCGGGCCCGGCTCGTCCGCTCTCTCCCGTCCTCCGCACCCCGCCGCATTGGGGCGCGCTCCGTTGGCGGCGGGCGCTGCGGCCGGGCCGGCCCCGCGGGGCTGCGGCTCTCGGTGGGCTCCGTCAGCCCCGCCCCCAGCCGTACGTGCGCCGCGTCCGCCGCGCCGCGTTCGCTCCGTGCCCCCCTGCGAGGGAGCGGCGGACGCTGCCGTCCGCGGAGCGGAGCCGGGCGTCCCGGGGTCGGGTGACGCCTCTAGCGCCGCGCCCGGAGCGCCGTTTCCCGTCGCTGAGAAGCGGGGAGGCGGCTTCGGGCCCGGTTCGCGGCGCTCCGTCTGCGCTCCCTGCCCGCCGTGCTTTCCGACACGCGGGGCGGCAGCGCTGTGTGCGGGGAGAGTCGTTCTGAGGCCGTTAAACAGCATCCCCGGGTAACTCCTAAAGTGCTGATCGTCCTTGTTTTGGAGCGCTCTGCTTCAGCCGGCCAAGCGACGGCCGGGCTGCGGGGCTCCCCGGGCTGCGTGCTTTCCTCGGGGCCCGGTGCTGCCGTTGCCGCGCCGCGTTCTGATGCGGTGGGGAACGTCTGACAGCTGCGCTCTGCGGTGTGGGTCGGGATGTTCGTCACCTCCCAGGAGCTGCTGCTGCGGGGAGGCGGCTGCTCCCTACCATTCTTTGGTCGATGAAATCATCAGGAGAAACAAAACTGAAAGTGTCTTCTGAGGAGTGCAATTTTCAGAGTAAGCCTGCGGTGCTTCGTGCTGCAATGTGCCGTCAGGAACGGATGGCTCCAGGAGCGGTGCTGGGACAGAGAGCTTCCTGGTGATGTCCTTGAGGAGCGGAACCAAGAGCTGCTGAGGAGGCACTCGTGTGTGCTGTGTGTGCAGCACTGCCAAACTGTGGAGCTGGGGAAGCCCGCTGATGTGATCCGTTCCCTGGGTCTGATTAGAGATGACAACCAAAATGTTAAAAATACCCAAATGTAAGAGCCATGCTGGCGGCTCTGGCTTTAATTACCCTTCCTTCCTTCCTCCTTCCCGAGTTTTGCTGGGCGCAGGGAGCAGCCCTGGGGTGGGGGTTTGGTCCCTGCCCTGCTCTGAGGGGATCAGCCACGAGGAGCAGAGCCAGGCTCAGTCACCAGGCACTTCCTGACGTGATGAGGCTGGTGCTGCAGCTCGTGGGCATTGCTGTGCAATCCTGGGCTTTTATGGTGCTTTCACAGTGTTCTGTTGCTGGGATTCAAGAAGTGTGTGAGCGGGAGGTGATGTTCTGCGTGCACCAGTGGAGCAGGGCAGGGTCCTGGGGATGGCATCTCTGCTCTGCATCGGCCCTCGGGGCTCGCAGTGGTTGCTTGAGTTCTATCTCTCAAGTGATCTAATGCAAATTAGGGTGATAGTCACCAAATTAGGGAGGATGGCTGGAGGCTTAATTAGGTGCTTAATGTTTGTAAAACATCAGGAACCACGCAAGGGCTGTGCAGGCACTTGGCATTAATTGCACGGGCGTTCTCTGGAATCTGATTTAACGTGGGCTTTATGATGTGACTGGGCCAGATTCTGTTAGAAAGCAGCAAAAATAAATGAAAAGCCTTACTGAACTGCTGCTGTAAGTCAGCCCCGAGCCTCCTGTGTTCTGTACCTCTCTTTAGGAACTGCAGCACAGATAGACAAGGGTGAGCCCCTAAGCAACGAAGCTAAATGTGCAGTTCTGTTCTCTGCGGCTTAATAAAAATAAAAGTGGTAATAGTGGAGCTCAGGATTTCTGAACAGCTGTAAACATGCCAAACTGCTCACTCACCGGTGGCTCAAGGGACAGGAATAGAGCGTGGTCATAGGATAATTATTGACTGTGGCAGCATGAATTGTGAGGGTCCTGACGGATGGGGGTTGATGTAAGTGCATTAATTTTATCTGCTGGGTGGGGGTGCGGGAGCTGCAGCTCCTGCTGGGTGGGGGCTGCGCTGCAGGCAGGGAGAGATCCATCCCCAAAAGTCACTTCCTTCTTCTCCTAAATGGTTTCTGGCCCCTGGGATCCGTCCCTCCCTTGGCCCAGCTGATCCGGGAGCGCGGTGCTGCTGGGCGTCGTTTCTCTGTCGTCCTCCTGGCAGCTCTGTGTTCCATCGCTGTGCTCAGGACTGGATCCTTCTCCCCTTTCTTCAGCGCTGGAGGATGCGGCAGCCCCTTCTGGGAGGTATCTCAAATCATTTGGAAAATATTGTGAAATGATCTGGACGGAGCGCTGCTTTCACGGTGCTTTTGCCGCAGAATTCAGACGTGTTGATGCCTCTGCAGGAAATCGTCATTAACCTCAATAAAACAACGAGAGTGAAATTTTCCACGCAAAGTAAATTGTGCAGAAATCAAAGAGGAGGTTCCAGACCTGGCCTTAATTCGGGTCGTGATGAGTCCGACAGATGTTGCCTGGAGGCTGTCAGGTGTGGGTGATCAGGAAGGCTCTTTCTGCTGCTGTTTTACATGAAATTAGCTGCGTCCCAGTCGGCTGCCCCACTAATTATGAACGTCCTGGGCCGCCTCTCCAGGGAGCGCTGCCAGGCCCTGGGGATGTTGGCTGTAGGGCTGTGGGTAAGGGCTGTTCCAGGATTCCTGCTCTGCTTCTCACTGGGCACTGGAGTTTCCCAGGCTGTGGATCCAGCCTGTTTTGTGAACGTGTAATTATCATCTTAGGGTGATGTGAGGAATGGCAGAAGCTCCTCATGTTGGCGTTTAATCTCCCATGCATTTGCAGAGCATCTGGATACTCTGACGAGATAATTTCTGTGTACAGCTTGGAAAAGGTGTTTGGTGCTTGGAATTGAAGCTTGTTTTGAACTCCAGATCATCTTTTTTAGGGTGACTCACGTTGTCTTACATGCAGGCGGGCTGTTTCCTGCATCCAGGCCTTCATGGAAGCCAATGCTCAGGGTGGTCCTGGGCCTCCTGTGGGCTCTCACAAACACTGAGACTCAGCCCTGCCATCAGCAATGGTGCTGTGGGTATGAAGTGGGTCAATGGTGAGCTCTGCTAGCAAGGTGCATTACGTAACTGTGTAATTAACGTGCAGGGCTCATCTGGCTGTTCACACCGGGTGCTGCAGGGGGCATTGGCTCCTTCCTGTGCTCCTGTTTCCTGTGGCTGAGTTTGTCCTCAGGTATTGGCTGTGCTCTGGGCTGTATGTAGAGGACAGCACGGATTTTTTTGTGCACCCTCTGGACTAAATGTCTGTGATTTTTCTGTTGACCGCTCTCCCAGAAGCCTCGGGTCCCAGGGCAGCCCCTTCAGTTGGTGGGGCTATCCAAGCGGATGTCTGTGTGTGCAGCCTTGAGATTTCCCTGGTTCTAAATCATTCTGCGTGTGAATGTCTTCATTCTCACTGCTGCATTGCAGCTGGGTGCAAACCCACTGCTTGCTCAGCGGGGGGTGCTGATGTGCAGAGCAATGTGTGCATGGAGCGCCGTGCTGCTCTGCTTCCCGTTTGCCCCCACTGCCACAGGCTCAGTGTGAGGATATCTGCTGAGGGCGGTCATGGTGTGTTTTATGTGACTCTGTGTTTTGTACCTGGCGACCTGGCATTGCACCTGTGCTCTTCTTTCATGCCAGATTCAGAGTAGCATAGATGTATCTTCCCTTCACTGGAGCTCCTCGGTTACAAAGTACAACCCAGCCTGGAAGAGGCGTGCGCTCATTGCCTGGCTTCAGTCCTGTGCCCTGAAAGGAGGCAAGGCTGCAGTACGTCCAGTGGGAAACACAGCAGCTAATTTTAAGCTCTAGACATCTGCCCAATGTAAGCTGTATTGAGATCACCCAACTTATTTTATCCAAGCAGCTGAGTAACATCTGACAGCTGAGAATCTCGTCTGGAATCCAACAGGGGAACTGCAGGATGGAGGCACCATGTGCTATTAAGGAAAAGTGCTAGAATTGCTCAGAGAAGCCAGCTGTGCCCTTTGGGCATCCCGAAGGAGATGGGGGCTGATAGGTTTGTGAGGCTCTGGACGCCTCGCAGGCAGAAGCTGGCCTGGTTAAAATTCCCATTCCCTTGGATTTGGTGGTTTCAGACTGCCCTGGTGACCATGAGTACTCATGTTTTCTGGCAGGGATTTCAGAGCATCCTTGAAATCCTGTGTATTTTTTTTGTCAGTGTGTTGCAATGGAGGCAGGAGATGAAGTAGGAGAGGTGTTCCAGAGCTGAGCAGCCGTGATGCTGCCGCCTGCTACGTGCTGTGTGCCTGAGCTGAGAGCACGGCTCTGCAGGCACCGACCTGCGTGCACAGAGCACTGGAGCCAGGCTGTGCCAGCGCTGCCAGACCTGCCAGCTGCTCAGGTCCTGGTGGCTTGGGAAGGTGAGCTGTGCTGGAAGGCAGGTCTGCGTGCTCCTTGCTGCAAGCTGCAGCAGGAGGGGAAGCTGCAACTGGTGTGGGGGCTGCCAGTGCCGGGGAGGAGGCAGGGGCTGTTCTCAGCCATGGGGTTCTGCTGTGGGATGGGGTGGATGTGCCTCACAGCTCTGCTGCCTGCAGAGAGAGCAGGGCTGAGCTGTCAGCAGGGCACGGTGAGCAGGGAGCCTTGGCATGGCAGGAGGGTGCTGCTGCAGCATAGGAGCTGTGGCTGCTGCCTGTACGTGGCAGGTCTTCCGGGAGGACGGGGGAAGGATTAGAGGCTGTGACAAGTGTTGTGAAAGGGGAAAGAGGCGGCGAGCCGGTAGGGAGAGTTACAGCACACAGCCCCTGCTCGTGAGCCCTGGCTGCACGCAATGAAAGATGAGCTTCTTCCCGAGGTCCTGGTGCGACTCTTCCCTGTCTTCTGTGTTGGCTGCACAGAGCCCTGAGGAGGCTCTGCCCACTGGGAACAAAGCGCTCCATTCAGCCTGCATCATATTTTTAGCAAAGCATGATTCTTCTTCAGCTTCAAAAGTAGCAAGTGGGGAATGCAGCCTACATCAGTGCGAGATGCAGAATGATCTCATTCAGGCTGCAGCATCTGTTTGGATTGAAACAATTACCAGTGATATCAGGAGATCTGCATTTCTTGTTGTAGCCAGAGACCGTGGTAAACAAGGACTGTTTGCTCAGTGTGCTTTCTGTGTCAATGGAGCACAACTGGGGAGAGATGCTTCTGTTCTGTGTCTGGGACCCGAGGCCACAAGCCTTGCGTTTCCAGCAGCTGGCTTAGCCTTTGTGCTTTGGGGGAGATTCTGGGTTTCCTTTCGTGATCTTTTTTCCATCATTGGGCTTTAAGCAGTGTGGGCAATAGAAATCCATGTGTATTGCCTCTCTGCCCCGTTGAGGCACTGTGAGCTGCTGGTGTATGGATCTGTGTTATGCTAAAGGCTTATAAGGGAAACAGACCAAGAAAAGAGTAGAAATGAGTAATTCTTGTTCACACCTTTGCTCTCACAGTTCTGTGCTTTGTGGAGGTTGCTTTGCCACGCATCTGCTTTCCTCCTTCCGTTCCCCAACTCTTCCCAGTAGTGTTGGCCAACGGAGCTCCAGCAGCCAGACCTATTGCTGTGTCTGATGGCAGTGTGACGATGGCAGGTGATGCTGCTGAGGGACGCGGGTGGGCTGTGTGCTGCTGGAGCAGCTCAGGGTCAGTTCTCCATTCGTGCCATTCATCCCTTTTACAGGCCTTACAACAGAGAGCTTCTGAGTGAAGCTTAAACGAGATCTGTGATTTTCTTCTCCATTTGGTATTACAGAAATTAGAATGAAGTTCTGTTTAAGCTGCTTGCTGCCAAGGTAGTGCGGAACTGCTGGCTGTTCTCCTGCACTGCTTATGAACGTGTGATCTGTAACAGAAAGCGCCGCTCTGGGGCCCGTTTGTAGTCCTACAAAGTCTGGATCCCACCACCAGCAGCACAAATCCACCCAGCACAGAACTGCTGCCAGCCCTCACGGCAGAGGAGCCCAGAGCTGTGCTGGCAGCAGCACTGAGCGCATGGCAGCTCCTGGGAGAGCAGGGCTGCTGAGTAAAGCGCCTTCCTGCCGCAGCCGTGGAGCAGCGCCGGCTCCCACCTCGGCCGTTCGTGGAGCGCGGGCTGAGCGTTGGGTGCTGCTGAGCCCCCGCTGCTCCTCCACCTCCTGCTGCACGTCGACGTGCTGATGCACAGAGTTCCACTTCCATGGCTTGACTTCTGCAGAGTTGCAGCAGGGCTGCGCCTGCTCCACTGGCTGCAGCTGGCAGCGAAACTTCAAGTCTGTGCCGCGCTGCCATTTCCCGCTGTGGCCCCGCAGGCCCTGGGGCAGCAGCCCCCTGTGTCTATTGTCCCGCCAGCTGGCACAACTGTGGCTCTTCTGTGCAAACAACTCTTTGCATGAGGCGGTTGTGTGGGAATGGCCAATGGCAGCCCGGAACGAGGTTACAAACATGTTAACTGGTTTCAACACATTTCCCTTTGTTCTCTCCCTGGTGGGCTGGCGGAGCTGCCCAGGCCCTGGTGTGGGTCTGTCCCTGGGAGGGGTGCAGGGTATTGGTAACCTTGTGCAGAGCAAAAGCTGCTCAGCCTTGGGATCCATTGATGCTCCAGCGTTGTTCTGAATTTGTGTGGGGAAGCTGTGCATAAAAAGCATGCGACTCTTCACTCCGTCTCACATTGCTCTGCTCTGGTTGGGTTGTGTTTGCTGGAATTCCTGTCAGTAGCTTTGCTGCAGTAGGTGATGTGAAGGCGCCTTCGCTTCTGGGCCTTTCTCGCAAGAAAATGCGGAAGCCTGGCCTTCCAGCCCAGCCTGGAAGCAGCCTGTGTCTGCGCCTGCAAGTGGAGCTGTGCCCTGCCAGGCCAGGCTCTCGCACAGCTATTTCAGCCTCCTTGGCTTCTGCTCATTTGCTTCAGCAAAGGCTTCATTCGGAGCGGCTGGCAGTCAGTGAGGAGCAAGCTGCTCAGTGATGGTCAACTTCAGCTGCACTTCCCATGATGTATTTGTGTGCAGGTGCTTTGGGCAGTGGGCAGGCAGTATCTGCCGGCTCAGAAGTGTGATGCAGGTATTAATGCTGTGCCTTGGTGAGGGCAGTGCTGCTTTGGAGTTGGCTGAGGAGAAGCAAGTGAGTGATATCACTGAACTCATCAAAACTGAGTTAAACTTCACAGCACTGCGGTGTGAGTTCCGTCTTGGGCTGCTTATATAAAATGGTGAAGGTAGACAAGAGGAGGTGGGGAAGGGTTTAATTTCCATTACAGGAAACTTTGCTTTCAAGAGTTTAAAGGATGCAGCTTTAAACCATATGTTGTATGTTTTTAATGTCCTAAATTGTCTCTGCAAATGCTCGCTCTTGAGTGCGAGGACTATTTCTGGACCTGTTGCCAAGGCAGTGCCACGCAAAGCCTCAAGGAGAAGCACCCGTCTTCCTCCCTGATTCAGTTCTTTGAGCACAGAACTTGTTCTTGGCCCCGTTTCTCAGATATGTGGGACTGCTTCTGAAAGTCAGCGCTCAGTTTCTTGACTTCTTTGGCTGCTGAGGCTGTGCAGCACTCGTGGAGCGGGCTGTCGGGCGGCCGTGTGCAGCTGAGCTGCTCAGCTCCAGAGACGGCTGCGCTGAGACAGAGCGCTGCTCACGGTGAGTTCGCTCTGTGCTCCTTGCTGTTCAGCCATGGTGGCCGTTTCCACGTTTTTGGCCCTCGTCAGGTGCTGAGCTGAGAGCCAGAGCAGCGCTGAGCTCCTTCCTGGAGCCGAGCAGTCAGCCCTGCAGGTGCCTGTAACGCCGCCGGTCGCTCGGGGGTCACAAACCTGATTGTGGTCAGAATGTGTGCTGATGCTCCTCGTTTCTCTTCCTTCAGAGAAGCAGAGTCCTTCAAGGAGCAAGGGAACGCTTACTACGCCAAGAAGGATTACAACGAAGCGTACAACTATTACACAAAAGCCATAGGTGAGAGCGGTGGCGGTGATGATGGGCTCTGCTGAGCGCGATGACTAAAAATCAAAGCCAGTTACTGATTTTAAGATATACCAGCAGGGTTTCTAACAGCACAGACTGGATGAAAACTTTGTTGGTTTAATTACTTTGCAGAATTTCCCTGGGTTGATTATGCAAGTCAGTGCTAACGTGGGTGATTTGCTGCAGTCTTTTATTTCCCTTCTATCCGAGATATTTTTAGCAAGAAACCAATCCAGTTTTCCATCTAGTGCAGGGTCAGCAGTGCTGTCAGGCTCAGTGCTGCAGACCTCTGTTCTGTGTGACTTAAAGCCTGTGTGTAGTGTGAGAAGCAATGGTTTCGTGGCTTCTATTCTGAACCATCATGCATCTTTGTAAGCCGTTTGGTGCCGTTATAAATTGGAAGGAATGTGATTCTTTGGAACCCACAATGTCTTTCAAGTACGTTCTACAAGTTGTCCAGCTGCTTACATTACACTGACAGCAAGTGCTCTCCCATTTCCTCCAGACACCTGTCCTAACAATGCCAGTTATTATGGTAACAGAGCTGCCACCCTCATGATGCTGGGGAGATTCCGAGAAGCACTGGGAGATGCTCAGCAGTCTGTCAGATTGGACGACAGCTTCGTAAGGGTATGTGGAGGTGATCTTATTTCTTGTATGTCTGAATACTCGCCTGCTCCTGCAGCTCCCTTCTAATGCTCTCCCCAGGGCCACCTGCGGGAAGGGAAGTGCCACCTCTCCCTGGGCAACGCCATGGCTGCCAGCCGCTGCTTCCAGCGCGTTTTAGAACTGGATCACAAGAACACTCAGGCACAGCAAGAGGTGAGAAAGGGAGGCGCTGCCGAAAGGAAGGGATTGAGCTGGGTAGTGATGCCTGCGTGCCTTGGTACGACGAGAAGCAGTGAGGTGGTGCTGAGATCTCCTTCTCTGCTTCTCAGTGGACCAGTTAGTGGCACAGTTATTTGTGTGTGGTTGTCGTGGCAGGAAAGCATGGAGGCTAAGCTGGTCTTTCACCAGCACTTCAGGGGAGAGTGATGGTAATCTTGGGCTACCAGTGAGGTCACTTAACTTCAAACTGATTTTAATGCTGGCAGAAATATTGACCTAACCTGTTCTGTGGTCTGCGACAGTTTTTGCTTATGACTGTAAGAAACACTTACTGTGTGCTCCTGTCTTTAGCTGAAGAATGCCAGTACAGTGCTGGAGTATGAAAAAATAGCAGAAGTGGATTTTGAGAAGCGAGATTTCAGGAAGGTAAGATGAACTTGATGGCTTCCTGCAGCATCCTGAGCAGACTGTCTTACCTGGCCAGGTCAGTTAGATGCACATCTCATCCCCCTGCCTCCTCCTAGCTGGGCTCTCCCTGTCAGTGTCACAGTGAGTCAGTGAAGGAGTAATGCAGATCCACACTGGGCATTCTCTGGTACAGTCTCCTCACATTTCTTGCTGTGGACAGCAATGGGTGCAGCCATTACTGACCCCGTACAACAAGAAGCGACAGCGTGAAATCTGAAAGGCACTTAACACTTCTCATGAAACTGTGTCATAGATGCCTGTAAGGGCTGTAGAAAGGAGGCTGTTTGATGTGTTAGGCTCTTAAGCTAAGCTCAGTGTTTTGCAAACAGAAACTCCAGCTTTGCACCACCTTGTTACGAGGAGCAGATGGGGTGTGGGGTCGGTCTGGATTGCATGTGGTGGAATCACCCTGCCTGTGCTGCCTGTTCTGGGCTTTTGCATCTGTCCCCTCACTTCACTGGGAAGACCTGCATGAAATGTGATCTTTGTTTCTGGAGAGCTGTTCTTGCTCCTTTCTCACCCTTTGCCTTTGGCTTCTCAGTCTGAAGCACAGTGCTTCCCACAGCAGCCCATCGTGATGTCACAGGCCGGGAAAGCAGATGAAACTTGGTGGAACAATCGCCCTGTTCTCCTGCAGATGTCCCTGCCATGGAGGCAGAGATGGAAAAAGACCCATTAGATCACCCTGCCCACTGCAGTCAGGCAGTCTAAGATCAGTCCCTGCTCTGTACTTTTTTTGTGTTCTGTCCAGTCCAAACTGTCCCAGTCTGTTGCATTTCTGTCCCTCCCACACTCCTTTGTAACACAGGAAACAGGGGCAGAATTGTCTTCCTTGGCCTTTTCTTTGGGGCCTGCAATTTCAGTGGAGTTAAAGGGTTTGAACTACAGGTGTTCCTTGAGTTTTCTGCCCAGTGCTCTGTCATGGTGACAAAGCAGGGCCCACGTACCCCATGAAGCCCTTCTTAGAACAAAGCAAAGCAAAGAAAAACAACACCACCAAAAACTGCTCTGAATGAAACGTGGATCCAGCAGAAAAGAGGAACCTGCACACTTCCCTTCCTGCTCAAAGGCAAACAGGGCATCTCACGTGTGGTAATGATGCAGTTTTTCAAACTAAACCTTTGGATGTTTGCTTTTCTCACATCAGGTTGTGTTTTGCATGGATCGTGCTCTGGAGTTTGCTCCTGCTTGTCACAGATTCAAAATCCTCAAGGCTGAATGTTTAGCACTGCTGGGTCGTTACCCAGAAGCACAGTCTGTAGCAAGGTAGGCATCTTTAAGGTCTTGAAATCGTGAACCAGCTTGTGGTGTGTGCTGCATGCTGTCTGTTCCCAGAGCCTAAAACAATGGGAGATGTAAAAAATCCTCAGTGCGAATGATGACAAAGAAGCTGACGTGAATTCATCCTTCTTCCAATTCATCACACTGGGAAACTCTTGTTAAGCTTATTTAATATCCAGCAGTCTTGCTTGAGCATCTTCGTGCACTGTTTTATATCCCTACCACAGATCTGATGAATCACCTCAGTATCTCAGCAGGAGAAGAGTGCTTCTGCTGATGACAGGCAGAGTGCTGTAGGTGACTTACGGTCTGTGTCTGTCGCAGTGACATCTTACGGATGGACTCGACGAACGCAGATGCTCTGTACGTCCGCGGCCTCTGCCTTTATTATGAGGACTGCATTGAGAAGGCAGTGCAGTTCTTCGTCCAGGCACTCAGAATGGCTCCTGACCACGAGAAAGCGTGTTTAGCCTGCCGTGTAAGTTGTGGGCGCTGGGGCTGGGACCACGAAACTGCCAGGGCTTGCTGCTTTAAACAGGCTCTTCTGCTGGAGCAGTCCTTTCTCTGCCCCGTGAGCCTGTGACTGCTGTGTCCTGTAAGGGTGTCAGGAAGCAGATTGGAATGGCTATAGCTGGGGAGTCCTGGCCAGGGAGATGAGGCGTTGTTTCCTCTGAACGCTCAGCTGCTGTCCTTACCCACGGTGCGTTGTCTTTCAGAATGCCAAAGCACTTAAAGCGAAGAAGGAAGATGGGAATAAAGCATTTAAAGAAGGAAACTACAAACTAGCTTATGAACTGTACACAGAAGCACTAGGAATAGATCCTAATAACATAAAAACAAATGCCAAACTCTACTGCAACCGGGGGACGGTTAATTCCAAGGTAAGAAGTGGTCATCGTGCAGCTGACCTTTAATGTAGGTCTTGTTCCTCAGCACGTAGTTGACAAGCAGCAGGTTGCTTGTTCTAGAAGCATGCACTTCTCCTGGGGCAGCTGCAGCCATCCAGAGCTGTCAGCAAGTTCTTGGGCTTGCACAATAATTGGATCTGCTCCAAGCAGCTGAAGAAATCGACTCCTAAAGAAACAAAACTCAAATGCTTGGGCTGCCTGGAGTGGGAGGGGGAGAAGGAATGCAGTGTGGCCTTATCTTAATCAGTGTGAAGGCATCCCTGTTTGTTTCCTTCCTTGTAACGAGGATATCGTGCTTTCATTTGCTTGAAATCCTAACGCTGTTTAGCAGTTCTGCTTTTCTCTGATTGGGATTCACTTCTGTCTGACCTTGTAGCTTAGGAAACTCGAAGAAGCGATAGATGACTGCACGAACGCAGTAAAGCTGGACGAGACGTATGTTAAGGCGTACTTGAGGAGAGCACAGTGGTAAGTAGGTGTTTGTCTTGGACTGCTGGGCAGGTTTGGAGATGGGAACCTCCTCCCCACAGCAATAGGTGACAGGGCAACAAATCTGAAGCTTACATGAATAAAAGGCGATGCCTTCAGAGGTCCATACAAACCTCTTCTGTGTGGTGCTGGGGAGTTGGGAAAGCATGTGGTCTGTCCTGCCTGCACGTGTCCGGGCTGCCTGTCTGTTGTGTTTAGGCAGGGTTTGTTATGGGGACTGCTGAATCACAGCAAGTTGTCAGTGTGTGAGTGGGGCTGAAAGGCCAGCAGGCAGGAGCGTCCTCTCTGAGGCACCCAAGTTGTCACTTCTGACCAGGGCTGTCAGCGTGCAGCTCTGCACCAGCTTCCTCAAAATGTTGTGGCTGCCATTAATTCCTGCTGTTGGATCAATAATTATAAGGCCTTTAAAGTAGAATGTGTGTCAGCAAGCGAGATGGCAGCCTCAGTTTGGAGCCCAGAGTTCCTGTGCCAGGTTTCCCATGGCCTCCAGCAGCTGTTACCCTTTGCAGGTTCTTTCTGCAGCCCAATGCGTCTGTTTCCCTTAATTCCTATCTACCCAGAAAACTTGTGACTGAGCCCCTTCTTTATGCTTTCTGTGAAGTACAGCTTGGCAATCATTGTTCCCACAGTTACATGGACACAGAGCAATACGAAGATGCTGTAAGAGACTATGAAAAAGTTTATCAGACAGAAAAAACAAAAGGTAAACGTGTCTGTGTTCTGTGCATGTTTCCTCTGAGTAAGGCAGGTGGTTTGTTGCTGAATGTGGTCCTCATCCTTCGTAGTAGCCTGAAATGAAACGGAGCAGCTCTAGTTGTTGTGGTTCACTGTCTGGCAAATACTGGTTCAGTAGCATTGAGATTTCACCTGCATTTGGGAACAGCCTTCGGTGCAGGGTTCAGCTTCAGTTTGCTGCCTGAGCAGAAATGCAAGTGGTTGGTGCTTGTGGCACCCAAATCCTGCAGCTCAGGCCACCCCAGGTCTTGGTCTGTCGGTCTCTGCGGAAGCAGGGCGCTGTGTGACGCACTAAGGCTGCTTTCCTTGGGCTTTGCAGAACACAAACAGCTTCTAAAGAATGCACAGATGGAACTGAAAAAAAGCAAGCGGAAAGACTACTACAAAATCCTTGGGGTCGACAAGAACGCCTCTGAAGATGAGATCAAGAAGGCCTACAGGAAAAGAGCACTGATGCATCATCCAGGTATCCAGGTGTTTTCAGAGCATGCCTTGCTGCTCCGATTCTCCTGCACAGCCACCCGCAACCATCACTGGGAGCTGGGAATAAAGGGGAGGAGGAATGCATGGGCAGATGTGACCCCCGGATGTCTAAAATGCCTCCTGTGGTAGCTGGGGCTGCCTGCAGCTTCCCTTTCACAATAGAAACATAAAGTTTCTTTCCTGCTTGGTTTCATGTTGTTAGACCGCCACAGTGGGGCGAGTGCAGAAGTACAGAAGGAAGAGGAGAAGAAGTTCAAGGAGGTTGGTGAAGCCTTTACCATCTTGTCAGACCCCAAGAAGAAGGCTCGCTATGACAGTGGGCAGGATCTAGAAGAAGATGGGTTGAACATGGGAGGTAGGTAGTTTTTGTGGTATCCTCCCTTTTGTAACAACCCCATAAATTGGCTTTGTTTGGTCCGTGGGAGTGTTTGAATGGCAGTTGCTGTCGAGAGCTGCAGGTAATCAGGGTTGTGTGGTGGACATTGTGCTTGACTGAGCTGTTGGACAGTAGGTGCCATCTGCAGAAGCTTCTGTCTTTCACAGGGTGTATAAATCCATCACGCAAATTCTGTGGGTCCCAAAATGTGGCTGATCCAAAATCCTTAGCTTGCTTCTGTGAGTTAAGGCCTGAGAGATGTTGCTTTTACCTGTTCTGTGCCACTGATGTGTCCCGTGCTGTGGTGCAGCACAGTGCCACGGTGTGCTGTGCTGCTCCCTTACAGTGGGCAAAGCAGGCTGCTTGTCCATGGCTTTCTGTGAAACACGGTGTGGGCTCTCAGTTCAGAGCCAGTTTCTAAACTGAAAACTGCAACTCTCTGTTCCTCTTCATCTTACAGCTTCCTTTTCTTCCCTACAGACTTCGATGCAAATAATATATTTAAGGCCTTCTTTGGAGGGCCGGGAGGCTTCAGTTTTGAAGGTAGGTGGAGGCGCCCTGCTGCTGGTGTTGGAGCTGGTAAGTGCTCAGATTGCTTCACCCGGCAGCAGAGGCTCCCCAGCTTCGCTGTGCCGACGGAGAAGAGCGTGCTGCTGAGCTCCCTTCAGTCCTCAGCTGCGGTTGGGCTTCGTGCAGCGCTGCACAGCTCTCAGCACTTTCCCAGTGCATTAGGCCATGTGAGGAGCTGTGCGTTGTTAGGTTTTGTTGTGTGTTTGGGGCAGTCCTGCATGGTTCTTGCACCATTGGCTTTCGTCCTTGTCAGCTCGCCTGCAGAGCCTCCCTCGCCCGTGTTGTCAGCGGTCCTCTCTTACCTCTTGGGATTCAGCTGCTGGAGATGCGTGGGACGGATCTCCCCTACCTGCCCAGATGGCTTTGTTCAGTTACTGGCCTGGCATCGGGCCGTTGCAGCCTGCTGTTCGACCGCCCTGTCTTTGAACTAACATCTTTCGTTTTCTTTTTCAGCTTCTGGGCCTGGGAATTTCTTTTTCCAGTTTGGCTAAAACACACACACCTGCTCTGCTGCTTTTAGCCTTCAATACGGACATACTTAGACTCCTTCCTCCATCATGTCTCATTGTACTTAGAGCAGTTTCATTTCTCTCGGTTGGAGACCTCAGTTTGTGTGCGTTTGTGTGTGAAGAGGAAACCAGCTCGGGGAAGGGAAGGCTTGTGGATTTTGTTTTACTGTTAACTTTATTAAAAAAGAAAATAATAAAGCTTTGAATCTGTTGGTCCCTCCATGCTGGCCCGTGCTTTCAGGCTGCTCCTCGGCACAGAGGATTTCCCGGAGTCCTCGTGGAATTCTGCCGTGTTCTGTTCTGGCTGCACAGCACAGCATGGCAGCATCTCAGCTCTGTAGGAGCTGCTCCGTTCTCTCACCTCTCTGAAAACGTTGCCAGCGTTCCCTCAGACCTCACGCGATGGCATCTCGCCGGCCAGCTCTCCTGGGCTCCTTTCTGTGCCGTGGTTCTCCCAGAACGGTCGCTTGGACTCGGTCAGTAACGCGTGAGCTGAGCGGTTGTGCGTCAGAGAGAAACGGATTTAAAAGAGCAGCTGCTGTGGGAGCGCCTGTGGTGCAGCTGAGGCTGAGGGCTTTGCGTCCTGCGCCAGGATTTTCCTCTTGAAGACGATGTGGGATTTGCTCTGGGCTTGAATTTTTTCACCGTGTGTTTTTTCCTTTCAATTAATCCACTTGAACTCTTCATAGCCGCGCTGTGAACTCGGTTCTGTTGGGTTTGAAATCGTCACGTTAGACTTTGTGTTGCTGATCCGTAGTGTGGATGAACTCCTCTTAGCCTTGAAGAAACGCGAAGTGATGTTCAGGTCGTTGCTGAAGTGGTTCCTGTGCAGCAGTGCGATCTCATCGCCGTCACAAGGACTCTCCCTTATGACAAAGCAGAGGAGTGGCTCTCAAATAGTAACGTCAATAGTCCAAAGGAGCAAGAAAATGCAAAGTCCCCCCCTGGGCTGGCAGCCTGCCCCTTGCTTCTCTTGCACGGCGTGTGCAGAGCTCTCGGCTGGGTGCTGCAGCGCAGAGCTGACAGCCTGGAGCTGGACGTGGTTTTGTTGGCGTGGCGCTGCTCTGTCGCTCAGCACAGCCGCCGTGGGCTCTGCTGGGGAAGGGCTCAGCTTCCACAGCTCTTCCCGCTTCCCTGGAAAGCAGAGGATCTCTGCCACAGGTGCTCTGTTGAGCCCTCGGGTGCCGCTGGGCGCCTCGGGCTGCAGGCGGTGCTGCGCTTTGCAGGGGCTGAGCGGGGCTGCGTGCGCTGAGAGCTGAGGCTGAGCAGCGCAGAGCTGAGGTTGGTGTGGGTGGGAAAGCAAAGTTCCTGCCTGCGAGCTCTTTTCCTGAGGAGGAACCTGACCCTGTTGTATCATCTCTGCCTCGGCTTCTACTGCAGGAGCAAAAATTACAATCAATGAATTGCACAGAATGATTCCTTCAGATGCTGACATCTTTGTCTTCCTTCCCGCTGAGGCTGCGCGTGCCCTGGGCTGCTGGCCTGGACTTCAGCAGTTGGTGCTGCTGAGTACGTTGGGTTTGGTCGGAACTTCTGACAATCTGCTCTCACAGAGGGAAGATTTAAGGGCTTCAATTTGAGTGCTGCAAAATAAAGGCAGCGTTTTACAATCGCTCTGGAGGCAGCTTTTGAAGTGAGCCAACGTGAAGTAATATTCCTAAAAACAGACGTTTGCTGAGCGTCCTTCGTGTCGGTGCAGGGTGACGGATTGACCCGGGTTGCACTGAGAGCAAAATGAGATCCTGCAGTTTTCAGATGAATAGCAGGGACCCCAAACTCTGCCTGTGCTCACTGAGACCTCCCAGCTCCCGCAGCTCTGCGCAGTCACAGCTTGCAGGACTGATTTCAGCGTGGCGTTGCAGCTTTGCGGTGCGTTGTCCTGTGTGTCAGCAATTGCTGCACAGCTCGGCCTTCTGTCAGCACGCAGGGATGCGCGCTGCGTTCAGCACTGCGCTGGTTGCGATGGCTGTTGGTGTTTCTGCCTCCCTGCTGTGCCCTCCTCTCCCAGCTGGGTTTGAGGCCGTTCCTCAGAGGGCAGCAATGGAGCGGCTTCGTCTCTGGGCGAGGGAATGTGCGCAGATGTTTATGAAGCTGCAGGTGAATGCATGATTTAAAATAGTTAAATATTACTGTGGTGAGTGCCAACGCGTCTCTGAGGAGTGCTGCTGTGTGGATGGAGCTGAAGAAGGGCTCTGCCCCTCCTGCAGCCCCCCGGGTTCGCCGTCGCCCCGTGTCGCAGTGCTGCAGGTGTGGGCGCCGCGGGGCGACCTCCAGATCTCTGCGTTGGTGTTTGGGAGATGCTTGCATGTGCGCACAGCTGACCTCCAGGCCCTCGGGTCTGCTGTGTTTATTTATTTCTTTTCCCTGTGTGATTTGCTTTCCGTATCTGACGCAGTTTCAGCTCCAGCTTCTGCACGGAGCGCTGCGCGTCCCTTCGGGGTGCGGCCCTGGGCCTGAAGTTGGCTTTGGAAACCGTCCCGCTGCTTCTGGCTGCCCCTTTTGACAGGCTTTTCCAATTGTCTGCTATCCATGCTACCTAGGGAAGCACATGGCTTTGTTTGTGTACTTGGAAGTGTTGCTGTAAAGCTGGATCTCGTGTGCTGATGGCTTCTGACTGTTCTGTAAATACTTGCGTTAGTGCAGACTGGGTGAGTGGCGACAGTTTGGGGACAGCAGTGTGAAATAGCTGTGCAATATTGTGAGTCCCCCGGAGCTTTCTGTATCCGGGATGCAGAGCAGCAGCGGCCCGCTCTGCTCATTCCCAGCAGGAGAGCCCTGGCCTCGCGATGGGGGCTGTGCTCTGCGGCGCTCTGAAAGCTCTGGAATGGCCAAAAGTCTGTGCAGGGCTTTGCCGGTCCTTCCAGTTCACTTCCTCGGTTTAGTAGCTGAGATGTTCACTTGTCTTCAAGTGGATGGGCTTTAAACGCGTGCCTTGTACCCTCCCCCCCCGTAGGGAAAAGGACGGCTGTGCGCGGCCCCCGTTGAGTTCCTCCCGTAGTGCTGAGGTCTGTGTGTTCCGTGGCAGCAGAGCTGCGCCCAGCCGTGCGAGGGGCGTCCCGCTCCCGGAGCTGAGACCCGGGGCTTTCCCCAGGGAAGCCGCTTCCCGGGAGCGGTGCCGTGTCGGCTCCGAAGCGATGCGCTCCGCTGCGGCCGGGGAGGGGATGGGGATGTGGGATCGCCGGAGCAGCGCTGGGCAGTTTGTGCCTGTGCTGGGCTGAGCTGATGGAGGAGCTCTGCGGGAGCTGTGAGGGCGCTGAGAGGCGCGGAGTGCGAAGCTGCGTTAGGGAGAGCGGCAGCGCTGGGCTGTGGGGGCCGTGCGCGCTGCCTCTGCCCGGGTTTGTGATCCGGCTGCAGCTCTGGCACAGCCAACCTTTCTGCGTTGCTCTGCCTCGCTCCCCGCTTTCACGTACAAATTCCTGCTTCAAAGGAGAAAACCAGGGGAGGCGGCGCTGGGGGTGCAGCAGCCCGAGCAGCTTCACGGCATGCAGACGTGCTTTGTTGTGAAGCGGTTCGGAGCAGCCGAGACAGAAGCAGAGACTGGTGGGAAGCCGACTTGGAGAGGGCCGCCCTATTTATCCAAATCCCAACTCTGAATGTTTACCTCGGTGTAAAACCTTTCCTGGGGGAGGAAAGGAGTCCTGCATGGAGCACCCGAACCCCGAGCGCTTTGCCAAACGCCTCTCCAGGGCGGCTTCACAGCGGGGCCAGCGCTGTCCCTCTCCGGACCTTTACCTTTCTAGGATGTGAATGGTAACAATGTGAATATTTGTTGTTTACTTCATTAGGCATAATTCATAATGCTGTGTTTATATGGAGAATATCACAGACTGAAGCAAAAACCGTATGCAATTGGTTTACTTTATTATAAACTGTATATGATGTACAAACTAATAAAAAGGTCGATGAGGACGGCGTTGCTGTTGTTCTTAGCGCGGCTCTGCAGGCAGGGGGAGCAGAGCAGCTCTGTGTGCTGCCAGGAGCTGCTGGCTGCGTGCTGTGAGGTGGGATGGGAGACTGGGGCTCGCAGCGCTCCTGGTGCAGCTGCCTGCACTCAGCCGTGGGAGGGGAGGAGCAGATGGAACTCGGGGTGCAGACGTGGATTCTTTGGGCGGCGTTAGAATGGGAATCCATTGCCATCCTCAAAGCCGCTCCCAAAGCAGGCAGTGCTTTCTCTCACTGCTGAACTCGCACAGCACTGCCCGCGCTCTCCCATAGCGCTCCTTGCTGCTGGTCTGAGGAGGAGGAATGCTTCTTTACAGACACGAACCCAGCACACAGGTGGGGAACACAGCGAGAGTTTACATTTATTAACGGTGGGTTAAGCACAGTGCAGCTCACCAGGCGCAGAGCCGTGGCAGGAGTTGGGGCTGCTGTCCTGACCTGGGTCTGTTAGTTGAGATTTGTGTTATGAAGTAGTGAGAGCGGGTCTGCGGGCTGGCAAACGATCTAAGAGCAGAAACATCAGCTTTAATAAAACAGGCTTAATAACAGCAGCGCTCGATCATTAACTTCTCTCCAGCCCACGATGGGGTTGGAGCAGACTTGAGTTACGCAGTTACAATACCTCCCTTTACTTCCTAAATTACAGTGTTACTTCCAGCCTACGTTCAGTGCATTAGCTAAAGCTAGTAAAATCTTGCTTGAAGTACAGTTCTGTATTTCAGACACGATTTAATGTCTACAAAATAAGATGGAAAAGACGTTAGTTCATCTCTTCCATTCCCCGCCAAGGCAGGATTGCTCCCTACAGGACGGAGGTGCTGGCAGAATTGAATGCAGCCCATCCTGAGCAACTGGAGCCGTTACAGGAACCGAATGCAGCTCCTCAAAGCTGTTTCCTTTGCTGTGATTTTCTCCCCATGTCTGCAGTGTTTGGCTCACAGACGTGGAGGCGCTGCCCGTCAGCACAGCCCTTCTCTGCGCTGAAAGCTCTGCGCGCCAGCAGCGCAATGGGGAAGGACACGCCTGGCTCCGGCGGCTGCCGCACGACCCCTGAAGGGCAGAGCGGCCGGGAGCTGCTGCACTGGACAGAAGGGGTCTGGTTTTCACACGAATGCAGCACTCCTGCTGTTTGTCCGTCTGTCTGTTATGCAGCTCACTGGGCCTCAGAGCAGTTCTGTACAGGCTCTGTTCTGCCACCGCTCAGCTGTGGAGCGCTGACGTGTACAGATGTAACGATTGTGGCTCATAGGGAAGTTATAAAAGACAACAGGAGATCCTCCTCTGAGGAAGAAAACAAGCAGGGCCCCACGAGAGCTGGTTCTCCCCAGACTCTCCCATCAGAAATACTCAGCAGCGCTTTGGTTACCGAGGGTTATGTGACAGCTCTCCTGGAGCTGCTTGTTTTCTACCGAGGCCAATAAATGCCTCCCCAGAGATGTTTCGGTCTGAGGTTGGCAGAAGGGCTTGCTTAGTAAAGGCAGAATTATTTCTCTTTACAGTTTTAAAGGTTACCGAGTTACTTTCCTTTTAAAAACCAGCGGGGGCGACGCCTGCCCGTGCTCTTAGATGATGGTGCAGGAACTGAACGCAGAGCCCCGTTTGTTGGTGCTCTGTGTAGGCACCAGTTTTCCCTTTCCGTAGTAACCCGAGAAAATCGCCCTCACGTCGATCTTTTTAGACAGGACGAGCATCCACATCCCGTTACCAAAATACTGCAGTTTCCCTCCCCCAATTTCCCCCACTTCCTCCCCTTTGCTCCCCGCCCTTTCCAGTTTCACGAACTCCAGCAGATCCAGCCCTGTTTGCACGGCTTCGACGCCGCTGGCGCAGCCGAGGGTGATGTGAGCGCGGCTGCCCTTCGGGAGGCTGTCGGCTGCCTGGATCTTATCGGCGTCCCCGGGCCACAGCAGCAGCTGCTGTTCGCTCAGCTCCACGCGAGCACCGACAGTTTTGGTTGTGACAAACAGACCAGAAATGGACAGAGTGAAGCCCTTGCCGTAGGAAGCCCTCACAGCCTGGGGAGAGAGGGGAGAATCAGAGCGGAGCTGGGGGGGTCGGAGCGCCGCGGGCGGCTTCGTTGGGTCCCGGCTGCCGCAGGTCTCGCTTTGCTGCGTTTGAAACACAACGCAGAGCTGCACGGCGAGGGCCGTCCTTCCCCGACCCCCGATTTACCTGGGCTGTTTGGAAGCGATTTAAGCGGAAGTGTAAACCTGCGATTTACTGACATTCAAACCACGCTACGGGAGACGAGAGCGGAGGGAGGCGCTCCTGGGAGCGGACAGGAGGCGTGGGCTGCCCCGTGCTGACCGCGTTCCTACAGGCGGGCCGTGGGCGCACGCAGCCCTGCAGTTTCCCTCTCAGCTGTGAGCAAAGCTGCCCCCCCCCCCCCCCCCCCCTCACCGCACGCAGAGCCCCGGCCAGGGAAGGACTCGGATGGGAGGCGGGGAAGCGGAGCCGCAGCGCTCACCTCCTGCTGTGCGTAATCCTCAGCCCCCGCTGCCTTCCCGAAGTCGGTGTATTTGGTGGTGCAGTGCAAGACCCCGGGCGGCCTCTTCACAAAGTAGCTGGTGAGATCTATTTTTATTTTGGGATCTTCAGAAGTGACTGCGAATATAGAAGAACGTTATTATGACAAAAGGATCCCTGAAAAAGCACCGGAGCTTAAGCCCCATCTCAGCTTTCTTCACCTATCTGTCCTCTGTGCTTCACCTCCTTATGGCTGGAAAGGAAGAGGGGGATACAAAACCCCTCCTTCCACCCGGGACGTGGATGCAGCTGAAACACGTTCAGGTGGCAGAGCAGAAACCCCACGAGGGGGGAGGGGAGGTGAGGCTGCATCTGACCCTCACAAACCATCAGGTAGCACCGCTGCCCCCCCCCCAGCAGCCTCACAGCTGAACGGACCCTCAAGGAAACTTTCGTTCATTTTCAGTTACAAAAACAACTTCAAAAAACAGGGCTGGGGATCCCTGAATGGTTCCTGTTGCCGACCTTCACTAAAAGCATCACTTTATAAGCTGACCAAATCTGTTCAGGTTGCTGCACCAAGTTAAGGTTGCACCAGCAGTAAGAAGCAGGTAAGTTATTTCTATACATACAGAATTTGCTCTCCTTTTTGAAGGCTTTGAGGCTTCCCAGCTCATCTAAGAACACCTGGCCGGCCTTCCTCAGGATCTCAGAGCTTCTTTTGCTCAAAAACCACCCGAAATACATGGGGAGGAACTCCTTCTCCAAACTGGGCTTCATCTTCTTCAGGTCTTCCACCGTCAGTTTCCACTGATTCTTATCCTTAAGCTGCGAGCAATCCATCCTCCACTGGGTTTTGGGCTCCGCAAAGATGACTTTGTAGCGGTATTTGTCAGCAATGTCAAAGATTTGGTCCAGTCGTTCCCTTTCGTGGTGAGTGTCGTCCAAAACGATAACGCTGATGTCTCGTTTGCAATAGTCAACTAATTCCTCATCGACTTTGGCGTATTCTTCAGGCACGGCGCTTCGTATGGCAGGTGTGATTTTGTAGCTCTCAGCGGCGACGACTTTGCAGCCGTCCTTGTAGCGCTCCTGGATCGCCTGGGCCAGCGTGGATTTCCCACTGCCGGGGAGGCCTCGCAGGATGAAGAAGGTTCTGGACTCTTTGAGCGTGGCGATGGTGTCTTCGTCATCGAGGAAGGGGAACCGCAGGCTCTCGGGCCTTTCTTTGGCCGACTGAGCGGACATCTTTCGAAATATTTTCGGCAGGAACGGGTGGCTCTTCTTGGAGAAACCTCTGTTCTGAAATTCGAGAAGAAAACGCCGCTTTGTAGGCTCTGCAAGCCGCTGCTGCGCCCTCGGGGGGTGGGGGAGTGGACGGGGGGAACCCGGATCGCAGCGGCCCCGACGCGCCCCGCACCGCCCCCCGCCCGGCACGGAGGGAACGGGAAACGTCACCGCCGCAGCGCGGAGCGGCCGCGGCCCGAGGAGCCGCTCTGAGCCCGAGGTGCGAAACGGCGCAGCTCCGCCTGCAGAAGCGAATCGAGACTCACTGACGGCGGCTGTCGCGGCGGAACCCGCGCCGCTCGGGGCTCCGGGAACGGCCGCTCCGGGTTCGGGTTCGAACGGACGGCGCCGCGCCCTCAGCGCCCCTCCGGGCTGCCGCCAGCGCGGAGCGGCACGAATCGCTTCCGGCAAAAGCGGCCGCGCTGCCGCCGCCGAACACGAAAGTGAAAGCGGCCGCGTGCGGCGCCCAGCAGTGACTCCTCCATCCTTTGCTTCGGGGTCGGGAGGTGCGGAGCGGTTCCCCACCGGGCGCGGAGCACCGCCTGCCCCGGGGCGGCCGCTGTGCGGGGTGCGCGGAGCCTTCAGCAAAGCGCGGCTCAGGAGGGGCTCCGCTCAGAGCGGAACGGCGCGGCGCCCCCGGCCCCCGTCCGCCGCCCCCGGTGGGGTTGGGGCTCCCATCGCCCCTCGAGAAGCGGAGCTGCGACTCCTCTCCGGTTCTGCCGCTCCCGCACCGCCCCGTCCCGCTCGGGCCGTGGGTGCGGGGCTCGGCGGTGCCCGGGGCCGCCGTTCTGCGGGCGGCAGCTGCGGGCGGGCGGCACTGAGCCGCTTTTCAAACGCGCAAACAAAAGAACAATAATAGAAAACACCCCCGGGCCCCATTGTTCAGCAGCCAACGCCGGGATAAAGCGCTCCTTTATGCCGCGGAGCCGCGCCGGGACAAAGGCGGCACAGAGCGGCGCGGGGCTCCGCGGGCGAACAATCCGCGATTGAGCGGCGCTCCGTTCACGACGCCCCGCCGTCCCCGCGGCCGCTCCGTTCCCCGCAGCGCTCCGACGGAGCCCCGAGAGGGGAGCGGGCGGCGAAGGGGCAGCGCGGCTCAGAGCCCCCCGCCGCCTCGCGCCCGTGCCGCACTTACCATGGTGAGGGCAGCGGCTCCGGGGCGGCCGCCGGTGCGGAGCGGGAGAGCGGCTCTGGGGCGGGCGGCACCGCGGCCCCTTTCATAGCATCGCCCCCCCTCGCCCCCCTCGCCCGGACCGCCCGTGGCCGCGCCTGCCCGGGGCGGGCGGTGCCGCTGGTGCCCGGCGCGGGGCTCGCTGCTTGCGCCCCGGGGTGCGGCGGAGCTGCGGCTCGTGTGTGAGAGCAGAGCCGCTGCCCGGCTTTATTCTAACCGCTCAGGAAATCGAACTGCTTTTTTTCGTCGTCTCCTATTTCTTCTTCCTCTTTTTCGCTCCCCTCTTCCTTTCTTTCGCTCTCCTCCTCCTCTCTTTTGCTCCTCTCTTCTTCACTCTCCTTCTCTTTTTCATCTTGTTCATCGAGCTCTTCTCTCTCGCTTCCTTGTTCCTTTTTGCTCTCGGTATCTTCTTTTTCACCCCTTTGGTTCTCCGAGCTTTGCTCACCTTCCTGTCCCTCAGACTTGTCATCTTCTGCATTTTCACCGCTGAAATCGTGATCTGGGGGGGGAATGAAATCTAAGAGTGAGTTCGAGCACTGAGCAACCAGTGGGGCAGGAGGAGAAAGGCTTTTCCCCTTTTCCCCCCATCAGCGCTGCCTTCTGTCTCACAGTTGCGCTGTGTTCGGAGCCCTGTCAGCACGGGGCGCTGCTGCCACCTCCCGCACGGCTCCGCTCCCTTCCCCGGAAAGGAAAGCGGGAAATTCTCACGTCACACGGTGCAGAATTTGACACAATTACCTGGCAGAGTGTGAGCCTCCGTTTCTTTTTCTCTTTCTTTCAGGTCTTCAATGAAGCTTCTGCTCACGTCATCCAAAGCCTGAAAAGTGATGTGGCTTCTCAGTAAAGGCCCTGCACACAGCGTGCAAATTGCTCCCGTTTTCCCCTGAGCTCTGCTATCCCTCCTTGCTCCCTCCCTGCCTTCACACTCTGCACCGATTCCAGCTATCGGCACCTGCACCAGATGCCTCCTCCCCTGAAGGTTTCGTCTCTCACTCACTGCTGTTTCCCTCTGGCAGAACAGGCGCTGCTTCAGCTCTGAACACCCGACAGCTCTGTGCTCATCTGCACCCGTTTGCAGGACAGCCTCCTTACAGCTCTGCCCCACTTACAGCAATGATGGCCTGCTGGGCAGCGTCGCTGTGCACCAGCTTCGCCTTCTCAAGGGCTTTTTCAAAGTTCACAATTGCAGACCGGTAATCCTTCAATTTTTCTGTATCAAACAAATGAAAACATCGATTGGAACCCAAGATACAGAGAACAGCAAAGAACAAGCAAGGCTCCTGCCAGAGACCCGAGCCTGAAGGCTGTGGAGTTTTCACTCAGGTGCCCAACAGGCCGGCAGCTTCCACACCCTGCCATCCATACCTTGAGCCTGCGCCAGCAGCACACTGGCGTGGAGCTGCCACTCCGCATCCCCCGCCTCCAGCGCTGACTGCAGGGATTTCTCTCCGTAGTTCTGAGCTTCTTCTGCCTTCCCGAGCTCAAGGTAGCAGCGGCCAACCTCGTGGAACAGCCACGTCTTCTCCAGGCTGGATTTTGCCAATGGGATTTTCTCCTCCCAGCTTCAAGCAGAGAGTAAGAAAGACAGATTTTAGTGCAGCTATCATTCCAGTCACAGAATCTATAAACAAAGGGTTCCAGTTGTTGGTATGAAGACATTCACAGCTATCTTGCTAGCAGAACAAACTGAAAGCACAGTATTTAACTGAAACCCCACTGCCTTCCTCTTATTTACGTACGTGTCGATGGCTTGCTGGAATTTGCCAGTCCTGGCATAAACTCTGCCAATGTTGTCGAGGGCTCTGGACACGGCGTCAGGGAGATTGCTGTGCAGAAAGGGAAAGGTTGCAGTGGTTGAAGCAGCCTTTATTGCTGGCAGCCTGATCTTCAACCCGTCTGTATTCTGTAGCGCCCAGCATAACATAAAGGGTTGGGAAGTAGAGGTGAAGGACCAGTGCCGGGCTGGGAGCCATCAAACCAAAGTAAATGTCCTCACTCCCAGCTTTGGAACCGGTTTGCCGTGATCATCTGTGTCGTACAAATGAAAAAGCTGATGAGAGCAGAGCAGAGCGGCGCTGTTTGCTCTGCCGCTCCTCAACAGCCACCAGAGGGCGAATGCTGCTCGGCAACGGCTGCGCTCCGGTCCTACAAGAGCAGCTTTCCGCGGGCTTGAAAAAGCAGCACCACGCGTCTCATTGCTGCCCGCTGCTGCCCCGGGTCTGACCTTCCCGAGGAGGAAGCGCACAATGGGGCTGCAGTGCTGAGCCTGGGATTTGTGCTCTTTTGCTTTGCTTCAACACGCATTTTGGCACGCCACGTGTGCTGGAGCCTTTAAAAATCTGCTAAAGTCATTTGTTTTTGAAATAGTGAAGACCCTTGTGTGTGGGCAGAGCCCGAATGTGCTGCCCTGCTACATCTTCATATGAGAATTACAGCACAACCTGACGCTAAAAACAGAGCAACTTTCCTCCCCCATCAGAATTTCTCAGCACTTACTTCTGCCTGGCAAACTCCAGATCCATTTTGTGGCTTTTCAGGGCTGCCTCCATCCGCCCCATCTCAAACTGAGCATTCCCAATGCAGCTGTGGAGGTTCCCAATCAGCTCCTTCTTGTTGGGAACTTCATCCTCTGACCATCCTTGTATCGTTTTCAGCACGTGCTCAGCTTTCCTGCAGCTCTCTTCGGGGCAATCTCCAGTGAGCACTGAGGACAGAGAGGAGCAGAGTGCAGCTGTGCAGACACAGCGACACGGGGAGGGAAGGCCAGCAGTTTTGTCAGCCTCACAAGAAGCCTGGGAAGGCTTCAGCTCCTCGCTCCGCAGGCACATCCTACAACCCTTCATTCAGCCTGCAGGAACTCCCTGCTGCTGTGTGACAACGCTCGTGTTGCACCGCACCTCTGGTCTGCATTTGCTACAGCAAGTGGCCACAAGCGCCACTCATCGCTGTCTTACTGTTTCCAGCCAGGACACGCACACATGTCGATGTCCTCCATGCTCTGCACAATGAATCTGGCCACCTCGGCTGGTTTGGGTTTCTTCTCCCGGATCCACCTCTGCTGCCTGAGCCTGCGCTCCCTCACACGGGCGTAGATGGGCTTCTGCTGCTGCCAGAACTCGGCGCGCGTGTCCAGGTAGGCGATGCCGCCCAGCACCACGTCCTCCACTTTGACGCCCTGCTTTGTGACGCTGCTCATCAAATCTGAAAATAGGGGGGCAGAAGAGGAGAGCGCAGTGCACACAGCAGATGAAGCCTCAGGTCACTGGGCTCCTGAACGTCCTGCTGTGACAGAGAGAGAGCTGGAAATTCAGGCTCCAGTGCTCCTCAGAGCGGGTTTGACTGGGAGGGGAGTTCCAGAAATTCTCCTTGGGGGCAAAAACTGCTGTGCTTGGGGCTGGCTGTGGTGTGTGCCTGTCCTGGGCAGAGCACATGGATGGGACACCTGCACTCAGATGGCACTGAAAGCACTGGGGAGATGGAGAGGAGCATTACATGCCTGGAAACTAGACGGCTCATACATTATTATACTAATGCTGGCAATACCATAAAACTTATTAGACTAAATTCTTAATTACTGCTCTGTTACCAAGTAAACGGTTTCCTAGGAGGAGGAAAAAAAAAAAAAAAAAAAAAGATTAAATGGAAATCACCTTTCTGCCTATTTCTAAAATAAGGTCCTTTGTGAATCCTGCATCTTGTTCCTAACAGTGTGTTTAACAAAGCCACAGGTGAGGAAGTGCCACCAGCAATGCTTTGCTCTTAATGCAGATGTTAGTGGAATCAACATCATGTCAGGAATGGAGTGGTTTATAATGCTGACTTCCTCAACACAGATGGCTGTGATTGAAAGGAGGAAACATTCAGAGGCAGCTCTGAATATTGGATTTGGCTCCAAAGACACCTGAACTCTGCAGACATCTGCCTCTCTCTGACACTGCCAGCCCTAGGAGCTACGTGAGCTGTGAGACAAACACGAGCAGTAATAAGAATATGAAAGAAGGAAAGAAGATCCTGCTTAGAAGGAACATTTAACTGAAAACAATGGAGAAAACCTTCATCCTTCAGCAGCTTTTCTAGGTAGGCCTTGTCAGCATAGAGCTCTCCAAGAAGCTGCCGCTCTGTTTTCTGATTCCTTGCAGGTTCCTGTTTCTTTGTGCACTTTTGGTCCTTGATCAGTTTGATTTGGAGTTTCTGATCTGCTTTTTTGCTCTACAGCAAGAAAAAAATAGAGTAAGTGAGGCGGGATTGCTGGGGAACCTGGGATTATCAGTGAGGCCTGGCTTCCAGAACTGCTGACCCTCTGTGCAGGCCAAGTTCCCTTAAGCAAAAGCAAATCCCTGTCTCACAGAGAGCTTTTAGGCTTCTGCGTGCAAATTATTTTCACTGCAAGCTACCCTTAATTCCAGCTGAAAGAAAGCAATGAGCATTCACTGCCCTGCCTTCAGGGGGAAACGTGGTGCAGCATCTCAGAGCAACAGAGCAGTGGAGCACCCCGAAATAAAGCAGCTGAGAAAGTGTCCATTATCAGAAACGTGAACCTCAACCAGCAGGTAAGAACAAAGCAAACACTGCGGGTGAGGCTGCCTGGCCCTGACCGCAGAGCTGTTACTCATTAGCCTTCAATGGGGGTCAGCAGCAGCAGGAACCGGTCAGGCTGGGAGAGGACTTTCAGGGGGGCTTTGTCTCCCATCCGTTGCTCTTCCCTGCCCTTCTGCCTTCTCCTTTCTACTTTGTGTGGCTTCAGCCACAGCTGCATTAAAGGCAGGTGCACTGAAATCCTCCTACTGGGTTTGTTTGGGTCCTGTGCTCAGGACGCACTGCCCTGGAGCAGCCACGACCCCAGCACACTGCTGCAGAAACCACTGATCCTCCCTGCGCTGTTATGTTTCAGAATGTAACAGTGTTAAAACAACTCCAATTAGCTTCTAAGAGCTCTTCACACCGCACCTCTGCCTGCCGGCTTATAAAGCAGAGATCCTCTTTGTTCTTCAGTTTAACTGAGGATGGACCTGCAAGTGCAGAGAAAATGCAGCATTAGAAAAGCTTGAGAATTTAAAACGGCTGAAAATGTGCTAAGCTGAAAATGTCCTGTTACAAACTGGGACTTCTAGTAGTTCTTTTGTATGAAATATGTGAATATGGGTAAGTTTTTTAAGCAGGAATTACAGCTCACAGATGCAGCTCTTGAATTGTGATTATTATGTTTGCATGGCACCACCACAGGCAGATTTCTGACAGAGATGTGCTGTATCCCACATGCAGAGCCTTAAAATGGAAGGAAAGCTCATAAGCGCGGTCATCTGCAGCAACCCAGAGAACTACTTTAAGGTCTTTGTGCCCTGACACAAACCCCCGTTTTATTTTCACTTCTGCTATTCAGAGCACAGCTCTAGCAGTGAAAGCAAGGGTGAAAAACAGCTCTTTGTTTGGGCCTGGTCAGAAGGGAGGAAGCAGCTTCCAGTGCCCTCGTGGAAGAATTTCCTCCGGTGAGGTGAGCGGGCCGAGAGCAGCGAGCTGACAGCACCGGTCTGCCACATGGGCTCAGTAAGGCTGGGATGTGCCCTGTTAATGTATCTGCACGCAGCAAGCAGCTAGAACTAATGCTCATCTATTTCCTTGCTTCATTTCCCCTGCATTGAGGAGCTGCCAAATGTTTAAACACCTCATGGTTTTTATTGTTTGTTTGCATACAGCCCAGGTGCTTGAAGGCATTCAAAGCATTCAGCTCAGCACGTCAGGCAGACGAGTTTCCACTGAGAGCTGTGCTGTCTCAGTGTTTGCACCAACTAAGAAAGCAGCAGTAAGAGGAAAACAAAGCAGGTCTGGAAAACTGCTCTGTCTGCCATTTTAAATGAGTGTCACACATGGAAGAGCTGCAGGCCTTCACACAGCTGGGACGTGAAGCCAATCTGCAGTACTGGAGGTGGGCTGCAATTCCAAAAGCGATCTCAAGGCGAGGTAGCTGTGTTATCTGTGGGATCGAGGTGTGTGGGGCGGGCAGGCAGGGTGTGCCCTGGCTCCATGACAGGACAGGCTGCTGGAGGATCCACCTGAGCAGTTTCTGACTGTCCCAGCAGGTTTTGCAGCAGCCTTGCAAGCTGTGCACAGGTTCTCTTTGCACGTGATAAGCCACTCAGCCACAGAGCCAGCCCCAGTGGAGCGTGTGTGTGAGCCTGGAGCGGGTGCAGGTGTTGACTAAGCTTGCCTGCATGTGAGAGCACTGCTAGGAGAAAAAGTAAGGGAAAAGTTTTCCACTGGTTTTGAACGTCATCAGGTCCTTGGCCTTTCCTGTCTCTTGCAGTTCTCTGATTTACGCCAGAGCTTATGAAAGCAGTGCTCCATTGCAACAGTTTCACTGCTCTGATGCAATGTAAACTGGAGGAAAATCAGAATCTCAGGAAGGCCAGTCTCAGGTGGGCAGATTTCACTACAAACTTTTTAACACCAGGATAAAGATCTCAAAATGGATTCTGTAATCAGTAGGCCATAAGTAGGTGTACTGCTGTTCTGTATTATTTAGAACATTTTTATGGTGACTTTAGAAATGTAAGTGCCAGGGTCATAATTCACTCCCATAATCATTAGCTATTAGACACTGCAGGTGGGGATGTGTTCTTTTCTGCGCTTCTTGGTTTCAAATAAGAATGGCAGTAGAGCTCATGAATCCAGAAGCAAAAGGAACTCTGCTGTTACTTGGTCCTTAGGAATATTAACACCCATCAGCTATCAGCAGCTGATGACAGAACACCATGAAAAGCCTCAGCTGTGCCTGCAGGCACCATGAAGGGGAACTTCTTACTTCCAATGCAGTTGATGATCGCCTCGTGGGATTTCTGGATGCCCAGCCTGAACTTCTGCAGCTCCGGGCGCAGTTCACCGCCCCGGTGATAAAACACCAGAGCAAATTCAAAGTCACCCATGGTATATAACGTCTCAGCTTTTTGGTAAAGGCCCTGAAAAGACATTTGAAGGGGAGAAAGCCAACAAACTATGCTTCAGAACCTCCAAACAATCCTCTCCTGGGCAGAAGTGAAAGCCCTACTCATACAGCCAAGTTTGCATACAATAAAATCCAATCCTGGGTCCTTCCTCATCGGCTGAGCACTTCCAGCTCTCTGGATGCACCGCAGAGGGGCTCAGCACGCTGCGATTTGGCGTCAGCCGATATCACAGCACATCCCTCCCTTGAGGGCTCTGCAAGGACCGCCGCCCCCACAGGCAGCAGAGCCGTCCTGGGCACCGCCGCCCTGCAGCTCTGAACCATTTACCTCCGAGAACTTTTTGTCATTCTGGAGAGACGCTTCGGCGTCCTTCAGGGAATTCTGCACATCTCCGAGCTTCAGGTAACACCGCGAGCGGGCCACGAGGCCGTGCTTGTCCGCGGCTCTGAGCTGCAGCGCCTGCAAGGAAGAGCGCGGCGTGCAGCGCAGGGCCGGGAACGCAGAGCGGCAGCGGATCGGGGTGGCGGATGAGGCCGAACCCCCGGTTTCGCCTCCCCCCAGGCCGCGACCCCCACCCGGGCCCTCACGTTGTTGAAGCAGTCCAAGGCCTTGCCGTACTCGCCCCGCCGGTACAGCAGCGCGCCCTGGCTCATGAAGCCTGGGAAGGTGCCGATCGGCGCGGGGCCTTCCGCCATGGCGGCCTGAGTCGTCGCTTAGCAACGGCTGCTGGGCAACGGTGTCACTTCCGGCGCCGCGCGAAGCCCCGCCCGCGTGGTGACGTCACCGAGGCGTGCCGCGCCGCGCAGCTCGGCGAGGTCCTGGCAGGAAAAAAATGCCGGCCCTGGGCGATGTGAGCGTGCGCGGGCGGCCGGAGAGAGCTGGGGAGCGTCGTGCCCCGCTTCGAAAGGCAGGAAGCGCGTTGCTCGTACGACTCGTGCAGCCGATCCCTGCCGCTCGTTGTTCCTCGTTCCGCTTTGTCCTCTCTGACCCAACCTGTTCGACCTGCGGGGATCGGCTGCCGGCTCGGGTTTGGTGCTTAGGCTGTTTGCAAACAGCTGCGTGGCCATAAAGAGACTGGAGTGCAGAGTTTAATCAGAGCGCTCTGCGGCGTCCCTCGGACAGCGGTCAGCATCGCGCTATGAGCTCGCGGCACGGTGCAGCATCCAGTCCTTCTGGGCAGCGGCGCTGACGAACGAGAGAATGTTCTGGTTCTCCCATCAGCAGCCTTCGTCTCGACTTTATTTTGGCCTCTGATGAGGCCCTGACAAGATGAATGTTTGGAGCAATTTGTTCCAGCGAAATGACTCAGAGCGGGCGCGGCTTCGTGCGATGCGCTCAGCGCAACCCGGGCTCATCTCGGGAGGATGAAAGCCGCTGCTTCTGCGCCTCTCTCCCGGGGCGCTGCGGGACGGGGCCGGGGGTGGGCAGTGACACAACGGCCCGGCACGTCCTAGGGAGGCGGCGGTCCAACAAACCCTCTGCCGTAGGGAAAGAGCTTGAGAGGGTCTGTAGGAAAAAAGCTGCCGGGAGCTGAGCGCTAGTGGGAAGCAGCAGAGGCGGGACGAATCGGGCGGGGAAGCGAGCTGGCGGTGCTGGAGGCGGCGCGGCTCTGTGCTCGGGGCTGACGGCAGCTCCGAGTCCCGGTGCGGGGTTCACGGCCGAGAGCGGGGGGGACGAAAGCGGGGGGGGAAGCTGGGGAGGCGGGGGCGGGCGGAGGGGCGGAACTACGACTCCCACAAGGCCGCGCGGGCGCTCCCCACCGGCGGAGACCAATAGGAGCGCGGGCGCAGCTCAGGCAACGCGCACGTGACGGCGGCGGCAGCCAATGGGCGACGGCGGCGCCCGTAGGCCGATGGGCCGGGGAGGCAGTGCCGCGCCACAGCGAACAAAAGGCGGCGGCCGTCGGGGAGCGGCAGCGCGGAGCGGGCGCAGGTGAGTGGCGGCGGGCAGAGCTCCGCGCGGCGGGCTGGCTGCCCCGGGCTTCTTCCTGGGGGGCGCTGAGATCTCCCGGGGCTCTGCGCGGTGGCGGGGGGCGCGTGCCCGGCCTGGGCGGGGATGTCTGCCCGTCTCTGAAGGGACCCGGCGGCGCTGGGCCCGGCCGTCCCTGTGGCTCCGGCGATACAATGGGGCGCTGGGAGCCGCGGCCCCACGCTGTCCGCTCCCGCCCTGACCTTGAGGCCGCAGCGAGGTTCGCCCTCTATTGAGGGATGCGGGAGCTCCGCTGCGCTGTGCCGGGCTCGGGCTGCTGGGCGGCGTTTGATGGGAGCCGGGAGAAAGGGCTCCCGCCCGCGCCCTGAGCTCTGTCTGTGCGGGCGGAGGCAGCCCGGCCCCAGAGCACCGCCGTTTGCGCCTCTTCCAGAGCGAGAATCGCTTTTCGCGGCTGGCAGGCCGCCCTCCCCCCGCCTGCGGTTCTCGTTCCGTTCTCAGCCCGTGTCGCAGCGGTGTGAGGAGCCCCGGGCTGCCTTGTGCTCCATGGGCGGCTCTGAGACCCGGCCGCGGCGTGGCCGCTTTCCAGGCCCCTGTTCACTACCTGCACGCATCTGTTCGTGTTGCAGCTTTGGAAGTTCTCTTCCTGTTGCACAGGGGTCACGTTTCCCTCCGTTAAACTACATTTGCTGTCTGGCTGAGCATCCAACGACTGAAAAACTGCGTGCGTTCTAAATATGTTGCTGTAGATCCCTGCAGTTGCTTTGTTTCCTTAATTGTGTTTGGAACTCAGGCTGTTGCTCTCCTGTCTAGTGTTGTCTAATCCCTGGTGATGGGGAATAAACCCACACAGCAGAAGCTCATGGGGTTTCAGGTTAAGTTTTCTTTTAAAGATAGAACTCCAGGTATCCCATTGCTGATGCCCGGCGTGTACCAGCACATCTGGAGCCAGTCTTCAGGTCTCTGTTAACCTGGCTTAAATTGGTTCATGGTCTGCTATTTTCCTTGGCTGCATTTTGATTTCTGAAGGCTCGGAGTCTGTAGAGAGCATGTTTCCCACCACCTTAGTGAATGACAGCAGCTTGCATCACAGCAGCCCAGTGCCAGGAATTTCACAATGTGCAGCACTGAGGCTTCTTGAGGCTTCTGACCCATGAAATTGGCTGCTGTGGGGCCTCTCTGGAGCCCCTCTGCCATCTGATGAAAGTGTGCTTGCCAGGTGGGTGCTGACGTAACTGTTTGTGCTGCTGTGGGCAGGAAATATTGACTGATCTTGAGCTGTGTTAATAAATGACCTGGGATGAAGGGAGGACACTGCTTTACTACGTGACTTAAAATCCTCAGGAGGAGAGAGGATGAAATCTCTCCAGGTGGGTGGAATTGTTTGGAAGCACAGTTTGGTATGAGTGGAGTTGAGTGATTTGGGGCTAAGCAAATTCCACGCGTGGAGCCCTGTTCTGTGTGCTTGTGAAGGGGTGAGGCTCACTGAGTTACACCTCTGAGACCAGAAAGGGCTTAAGGGCATAAATCAGTCCTTTCTTTAAAAGGTATTTCTTACATGGGTAGGCTGTGCTCACCCACCATCCACTCTGTTCAGTATTCAAAGGGACTTTACACTGATTCTATTGCCAAAAATGCCTTTTTTTTTTTTTTTTTTTTTTAATCTTTTTTTCATCTCCTCTCTGGTTTTTATTGTTTTACCTTCAGCTGGTTGCTGGTACGTTGGGGCAGATGGATCAGCTGTCACACAAACACAACAGCGTCCTGCTCTGTAACCTTTGTCAGGCTTACCATTATCACACTGAGTATCTTTTCTTTCCTCAATGCGCTTGAGAAACTTTAAAGAGTAACTTTTTTGTGTACTTGGCAAACTGTGTTGTAAGGGAACAGATACTTCTGAGCCCTTGATCGTGTGATCCAGTCCATTTCTTTTACTTGCTCCAGGCATGCTGAAAACCAGCACTCATTTACGTCATTGGCTGTGGATGATTTTCAGAAAGGTCTCTGACTTGTTGCAGGTAAACTGTTTGTTTTAGAGCCTCAGTAAACGAACACACATCATTAGTGGAAATCACTCATACATCCACAAAGAACTCACTTTTACTGTGATCTTCTCATCAACCCACAGCCAGGTACGTGATTCTGCTCAGCAGAGCTCCTGCAGGATTTGAGACCTGAAGTCACTGGAAAACTGCAGTTCGGACTTAATGAATGATTCATAAACAGAGCAGCATCTCAGGAGTGAGTCAGTAGGAGAGAACATTGTTATAGTTTGTATTTGGGGTAGGGAAAGGGGCCTTCTGCTCTTCCACCCCACCCCGATGTCCTCCTGCAGTGCAGCCATTACATCTGTGGGCATCAATCGGAGCTGCAGGCGCTCAGTGCTGCAGAAAAGCCCTCCAGGACAGCTGGAAAAAAAAAGCCCTCCCTGCCTGGCTGTGGGGACCTGCAGGGATTTCTGTTCCTCAGCTGCCTGCAGGTCGGCAGTCAGGGCTCTGCTCGGTGTTTGCTCAGCAGTGCGGCTGGTGGTGGAGCTGCTGTGCTGTGGCCCCTGTGGCCGATGGGGGACCTGCGCACGCACAGACGGGTCGGAATTGCTGATGCCCTGTCAGACCTTTATCTGCTGATCTTTTGGCTTAACAGTTCAGCAGACTGAAGGCATTGTTTCGTGCTGTCTGTCCCATGAGATGGGCTGAGTTGGAGCATGGAAAAACTGTGTGAGGGATGTGATTAAAGACTTGCTAATGCGTTGGGAAGTGTAAAAAAAAACACGGGCTGTTCTCTTGCCTGGGACAACCAGCCTGACACACACAGATCTGTCACATTCATCTGTTCCTATTCAATAATCCTCTAGGTTTTCTCTTTTCAGTAAGACTGAGGTCATTGGGTCTGGTTCTCTGCTATTGCAGACAATTACATCTTGGTCACTGGCATAACTAATGCCAGCTTTTGATTAATTTGTAATGTGCACTGCAATGTTGTTCAAGGACTCTGTGTCACCTTGGAGAAATGCAAAATCCATAGGTTTGTGTTTTCTTTCTTCAGGATAAAATACAAATGGCAAACATTTATTAACCCATATGCTCTTACTGCAGTCAAATGTGCTGCTTTTTCTCTGGGACTGGCCTTTTTTGTGCTGTTCTGGTAGCAGCCGATGGATTTCTGAGAGCCCTGGAAGCGAGAGCGTTGCTGCCAGGCAAAATTAATAG